TTTGTTGAAAGAAACACAAGCAGTTAAGGGTAAACGTAATTAAAATGAATGCTTTCGGGATACAAAATATTATGACAGCTGAAAATGCTACATGATACTGCAACAATTCTAGATTATATAATAACAAATAAAAATTTAACATGTAACATGAAATTGCAAGATCATCCTGTAACAGATCACAAAATTATCCACACAGAACTAAGAGAAATTATGATTCAAATTACAAAAGAAAAAATCACTCCAGCCTACCTAAATAAAGAACTATGGATAGATGGTGTACGTGAAAAAATGAATAATGTAGAAATTAAAACTTTACAAAATTGGCAGAAATCATAAATGAAACTAAAAAGAACGCAACAACAGAAAAAACAAGAAAAATTGAAAAAGGCAACCACTGAGTAACTACTGAATATATTAACAAACAAAAACAAAGAGACAAGCTTTATGTACAGGGTGTCCGAATTTGGATGGTTTTAATAGGAAACGTCAATTTCTGAGCGAGATACAAAAAAATGAACCCCCCACTCCGAGGCTCAATTTTCTTGAGATTTTGATTGGTGCAAACCGCATTTTGATATCTTCAACCGTTTAGCCGCTGGAGGGCGATTCTCGATTTTGAGCAATACTGTGAAATCTTCATAACTTTTTTGTTTATGAAAATAACTGATTTCCGTAAAAACTTCCTAGAAGCACTTTTTCAAGCAGAATTCAGTGACGTTTTCAGTTTTTTTCTATTCGGCCTCGATTTCAAGATATTGACCAAAATACGATTTTTTTCAATGGGACACCCTATATATTATAGTTCATTAGAAAGCTCTGCTTTTGCTGATTTCAATGATACAAATTTCGATAGGTTTATCTCTAACAGTTTTCGAGAAAAAAAATATTTCGGCTTTTGTCATAAGAAACAATGAGTTAGAAAAAGACCTTTCTCAGTTTCCTTACAGATATAAAGTCCTTTTCTTACACATTGCTTCTTATGACAAAAACCGAAATAATTTTTTTTCTCGAAAACTATTAGAGATAAACCTATCGAACTTTTATCATTGAAATCAGAAAAAGCCGAGCTTTCTAATGAGCTATTAATATATAGAGTGTCCTATTGAAAAAAAGACTTTGGTCAATATCTCGGAGTTGGGACTAACTAGAAAAAAACTGAGAACGTCACTGAATTCTGCTTTAAAAAGTGCTTCTAGAAAGTTTTTACGGAAATCAATAATTTTCATAAACAAAAAAGTTATGATGGTTTCACATTATTGCTCAAAATCGAGAATCGCCCTCTAGCGGCTAAACGGTTGAAGATATCAAAATGCGGTTTGCACCAATCAAAATTTCAAGAAATTTGAGCCTCGGAGTGGGGGGTTCATTTTTTTGCATCTTGCCCAGAAATTGATGTTTCCTATTAAAACCATCCAAATTCGGACACCCTGTACAGTGGAAAAAGATAGGAAACGAACACACAGAAAGGGATTTTAACACAGCTAAAAATAAACTAACTAACATGAGGAAAAAACTACAAAAAGAATTTGCAGAAAAACAATTTCAAGAAACACAATTTGATAACAGAAAAACTTGGAGTGTTTTAAATGACTTGTGCCACAGAAGTACCCAAAAAAACAAAACCATCAACAAAGTTAAGAAAAATGGGGAGACTGTTACAAAGGAAGAAGAAATAGCCGACGCGTTCAATGAACATTTTAGTAGTATAGGAGAAATACTTGCATCACACATAGACCCTGGTACAATAAATTTCAAGGAAGAAGTAAATAAAAGTATATTTTCAAAACCGACTGACATCAATGAAATTAAGAACATTATAGGCGACATGAAAAATAGTTGCTCACCAGGTATTGACAATATAAGAAAAAAAGACATAACAATATTATTTCATATTGTTGGTGGGAAGGTTGCTGATATTATAAATTGCGTACTGGAAAATCGGAAATATCCTGAAGAACTGAAAATAGCAAAAATTATGCCAATTTATAAGAAAGATGCACATGACAACTTAAATAACTACCGACAAATCTCACTTTTGAGTTCTTTCTCCAAGATACTTGAAAAAATACTTAAAAAAAAGGATGATAGACTTCATTGTTGCAACATGCAACTTTGATAAAATGCAATATGGCTTAAAAAACAGCAACACATTGGGAGATACAGCGGATCTGTTTCAAGTGAACTGGATAAAAATCGATACGTTGCTATGGTGTTTGTGGATCTACAAAAGGCGTTTGACCTGGTGAACATCGACCACATGTTGGATAAGCTTCATAAACTTGGCATCCGTGGAATATGTCATGAACTTTTGTCAATTTATTCAAAAAACAGGAAACACTATACGGTTACAAATGGAAAGTGCAGCGGTCAAAAAACTCTTAAGGTTGGAGTCGCTAGTCGCTCAAGGTTCCGTATTGGGCCCTCTACAGTACCTAATATATGTGCAAAGCCTTAAAGTTGTCGGGTTGAAGTCAAAATATGTTATGTTTGCCGACGACACTGTATTGGTGCTTTCTGCTGATAACAAGAACCAATTGGAGATAGACTTAAATGAAGATTTGGAACTTCAAATGGTTATCCTATAATAGACTAACGGTCAGAGCTGTCAGAAAAAAGTATCTTAGTTACTTTAGAGTATCTAAGTTACTTTATAGCATCTAAGATACTGTATCTTAAATACTTTTTATTTTTTGGCAAAAGTATCTAGTATCTTAGATACCGAAAAGTATCTTAAATACGAACAAGTATCTCAGATACTTAGGTAAAAGCATCTAGATACTGAAAAGTATTTAAGATATTGGAAAATGTTTTGGATACTGAAAATTATCTTAGATAGGTAATGAGGAAAGTATCTAAGTTAACGAAAAGTATTGAAATTGCCGTGAAAAAAGTTCCCCGAGACGTTTACCCAAACCCGACCCAACAGTACAGAATATATAGCTAAACCGTAATAGGTAGGTGGTAGGTCTGTTCTCACAAGAGTGTCTGACAGTTTGCAAACTGTCAGTGAGCATCGCCCATACCTGTTTTCAATGCCGTCATTGCCGTCATTCCAGTCGATTGTTAAGTGGAATAAACGTTCAATTTATTGAAAAATGTGTGGGCAACTGGAAATTACTGGTTCTGGAACGGTTCTCATGTCGATTGGAACAGAGCTTATTAATATATGTTTGGCCAGTAAAGCTGAAGTACCTTTTGTACAAGAAAAATCATGATAATACAGGTATTCTTTCGGTACTGATTGTAATCACATCAGGTTTGTTTATGAGGTGTCAAAAAACAGTTAGGGCCAATGAAATCGTGGTAAAACGAGATGACAATTGTTTGAAACAAACCTCAAGTGACTTCGATCAGTTTGTTCAGATCGAAAGAATACCTGGATTATCCCGATTCCTGTTTATAAGGAAAATATTGTCGACAATGGTTTTTTCGAGTTTGAAGAAAACAGTGTTCATGTGGAGCAAACCACCGATATGCGAAGCTGTATTGATTTGGAGATCCTATAATATACTCAATAAGAATTGAACCTTCTCGAATTTGGGATTTTCAAACTATAAAAATTCTTGTTTTTCAACTTGTGGACCAATTAAACAGCAATAGCTTAATCGGTTTTTCCGCCTGCTATTTGGAAATAATAATAAAGTATTTTAATTAATATCTTATTATCTTAAAAAGTAACTTAAGATACGTATTTAAGATCCTTTGTTTAATGAGTAACTAAATACCTAAAGTAACTTCAGATACTTTTTCCAAAAGTAACTTATCTTGTAACTAGATACTTTTTAAAAGTATCTTTGACAGCTCTGCTAATGGTGAATGTGACCAAAACAGTTTATATGGTCGTCAATCAAGAAGGCAAAAAAAATGCAATCCTGTACTGAAGTTAAATAACAAAGTGTTGCTAGAAGTGACAAAGTATAAATATTTTGGACTAATAATAACAAATAAATTAACCTGGAATGAACATGTATAGACAGTATTATAAAAAAAAAGTAGCGCGGATTATAAGACTAATAAAAAGGTGTTCTCATCAACTTAACAACAAAACCAAGCATATTATGCTATATTATTGTGTCCAAAACAAACTTATTAGAAGCAATTGTCAGTTGAAGCATGGTAAAGACTGTCATGAACATAATACTCGAACGAAGGACTTTCTTAGAAACAGCTATGCCAGAACAAAAAAGAGCCAAGATTCTCCACTTTATCGAAGCATACAAGCAACAAATGTGATACCAAAGACTATTATAGATTTAAAACTTCCAAAAATGAGCCATGACCTTAAGAATCACCTAAGACAAACTTGAACAGTTATATCTATTTTATAAGAATTTAAGAATTTATTGTTTGTTATTTTGTCTGTAAAAGTTACTATCCTAGGCCTCGGGCCAGTATTCTTTGTATACTGATTTGAGGTCAGAAATAAATGATTATTAAAAAAAAAAAAATGTCAAAAGAAAACAAATTATGTAAAAAAAAAATCCAGGTCCGTGTTACAAAAAATTATGTTGATGATGGAATTGGAAAACCAAAACGTCAAATTTCTAAAATAATATCACCACATTAAAGTCCAGACAAAAGTGCTTCAAGAAAGTTATCTTGATTTTTCTCGATCTCTTAAAATAAATCCGGGAAAAAATAAAAACCAGAATCTGAATTTTCTGGATATTTCCGGAAGTATTGGGAATTTCTCCAATTTTAAAACGGCATTTAGTTAAGCTTCAAAATGCGCAACTTTTGTATAATTCAACCACCCTCATTTCTCTAACGGTTACCGATATCACCATGTTGGTTCTCGAATTGGGGACACCCTGTACAATGCATCTATAGTCAAAGGGAAGTCACTACAAACCTCAAACCTCCTCACCAACCACTGAGTAATCTCATATGGCAGTTTGGAAGTCAACAACGCGTTGACCTCGACTACAAATTCAGCTTTAAACTAACATTTAGCTTCCATCAAAAAAATTATTATTTTACTAAATAAATTAAATTTTCAGCTCATCCGATGAAGGCAACGAAGATCTTCTTTCAGAAAATCTAGAAGGCGCTCTGGAACTGTCGGATGACAGCGATTGTAGTATCTAGCAAGTCTGATAATGATTTTTGATGAATTTTTGAGTCTCAATCCATAGAAAATAAAAAGTATTTTTTGGCAAATTATGTAGCAAACTATTCTTAAAGTGCTGCTTAGGAGAGTCCCTAGATGAATGTTTAGTAATGGCGCATATGTTAGGAATTACAAAATACCTCTTTGTGTGTGTCTATGCTGCCAGATTTAGGAATTGTGGACCTCTGCCTTTATTTTATAGGTAGTTTACCTAAATCCTAATAATATCGTAATAATTCTTACCCCAAAGCACAAATTGATAATATTAAGAGTGTGATTTTTTCTATTTAAAGAAAAATACTATTTTGTATTTTGAACTAGGATTTGAATAACCTAGCAAGACAGCTAACCTAAAATTAATTAATTGTAGATTGCCTCAAGCATCTAGTCGGTAAATTTTGATATACATAATAGTAGAACAATTTTTTCGCTTTATACTTAATTTTTATATATATATATATATATATATATTTCTTATTTATTAAACAGAAAATGATAGGTTCAATCAATAATTATTGTCCTAGCAAAGTATCTCCAATATTCTATGAATCATCGAATGTTTGAATACTCAAGTTTTATAAATATTGCATGAAAATGTATAAGAACTCAGCTGATTTAAAATATATATATTACATATTAGTATGCTGAAATCACTTTTTCAGTCATTTTAAATTTTGATATTAAATGATCACACTTTAAAACAATAAAGTTTTGGTGTGAAAAGTGTAGATCGAATTGAATCTCAGCTCTAGGACCTCTTTCTTATATTAGGAATTGTAAAGTTTGGGCAATTCGAATAAATTTTAAGAGTTTTCCAAACTCTCAATGATCAAAATAGTTGGATTTCCAAACAAATATAGTCCAATAAAATATGATTACTCTAACACCATTCTAAACTTGGTACATTTTTATTGCTAAAAATCGTGTTATAAATTGTTTTCTTTATTATTATTATTATTATTATTATCGTATTTATTAACTAGTAGCTTTAAGTGTTGTATTTTTTTATAGTTTAGGATATTTATTGGAAGAAAATGCGTTTTTTTTTGTATATGTGAGGAGTTTAGATGATTTTAATGAATGTTTTTCTCTATTATACCCTTGCACCCTTATCTTCCTAGGTATGTCGAATACTTCCCAGCCCCCTTCTTCCCAGTGATAAATAAATAACCCTTAACGCAGCTATTTATTGTTGTAATGTATAGTCTATTAATTTAACATTATCGAATCGTTTTTAACCATTGCGATATTATTAATTAATTATTAGTAATGAAATTTGACTAGTCATTTTTATTGTCTTATTAAAATAATTGTGAATAAACTTAAAGAGATTTTTTGTCTTTTCATTTATGGTCTTTCAAATTTCTAGCACAATAGTGGCAACACGCATTCAATAGGTTTTGCTAATGAGAAAACTCCTCGTTTAATTAATAATCCCAAATAAAAAACTAATTAATTATTGTTCAAATATATAAGGAATAGAGGCAAGTAAAGGTGAATTGTCAAGATAACTTGCTTAAATGAAATTGTGTCCAGAAACTTAAGAGACCTTTTCGAAAAGCCATTTTCTCCTAAATTATTTACAAGAATTGTAAGAAACTCAGAGAAAAATAAAAAAATCATTTGTATTAAAAGTTGCGTTTATTTTATTATCTTTTAAAGTAGATATACTTGGAGGTTCATTCTAGAACTACTATTATTGAGATATTAGAGGGGCACCAAGAAAAATATCATTTTCTGATATTTTAGAGCAGAATAGCTATTTTCCTAACGAGTGCGGGAAATTTCTTCCCGCAAGAGTTAGGAACTATATTTTTTCTACGAGCATACTAAAGCTGATGTTACGAAGAGTTTAATTTAAATAAAATGCGACTATGCAGAAGGTAGAACTAAAAATGAATTAAAAGGTATTTTTCTACTACCATGCATAAAGTACTCACTTTACGCACTATTCAGAAGACGTAAAATTTCTATTCACGCACCAGTGCGTAAAGTAATTCACTTCACACACTAGTGCGTAAAGTAATGTCAATGACAGTTGTCGACACTATCAATTTGGCATTTTTTTGGTAAATTACTTCACGCACTAGTGCGTAAAGTGAAAATTCTTTACGCACTAGTTCGTAAAGTATTTGTCTAAATTTATTTTTTTACACATATTTGATTGGTAGTAGAAAAAATTTTGTATGCAATTCGTGCGTAAAGCACCTTTTTTCACGAATGTGAATTTTGACGCACGAGCCGGAGGCGAGTGCGACAATCACATGACACACTTGTTGCATAAATAACTATTATGAAAAATAGGTAAAGGTAAAGATATAGGTGTATCAACAATACAAACAATTCCATGTCACAATGATTATTTCAAACTCTTCGGGAAGAAAGTCTTCCCGCACAGCAAATCGTGTAGGAAGAGCCAATTCCCGCACGCCTGTAGAAAATAGCTAAACTGCTCCACAGGAGTTAAGGATATGGAGGTTTCTTTGTTAAAAAATAAACGAAAACTGTTTTTTATGTAAATATAAAAGTTATTAAAATAAATAAACACTTTTTTTTGAAATCTTGAATAAAAAGAGTTGATATCTTTGTAAACAATGTACGTTTTTCGTTCTTTTACTATATTTGTCTTATCAGTATTCCACAAAATTTAGTCTTCCTATGGGTTTATTCCTACTTGCAACTCGAAATAATGGTTAGGCGTAAATTAACAAGGGACGAGGCTAATCGTGCAATTGGTATGCTACAGAGTGGCCGTCTACAACGAGAAGTGGCGAATGAGTTTAATGTGTCGCAAAGTGTCATAAGTAGACTCAATAGTCGATTCGATGAAACTGGAACTGTATCAGAAAGACATAGGATTGGTGGTCCGAGGAAAACAACACCCGCACAAGATCGATTGGTAACGCTAAGCGCACGGAGGGAGCCTTTATCTACGTGTAGACACCTGTCACAGCGACTTGCGAATGCCACAGGAGTCCACGTTTCAATTGAAACAATAAGAAGAAGATTAAATGATGTGAATTTAAGATCAAGACGGCTATTGCGACGAGTGCCCCTCACTCAAACTCACATGCGGCAAAGGTTACAGTGGGCAAGAGATCATATCCATTGGGGCAATGAATGGAGCTCTGTCCTTTTCACAGATGAATCCAGGTATGCTAGATTCTCAGATAGTCGAAGAGTTAGAGTATGGACCTTACCTAGAACACCCCGAAATCGACGCTCTGTTCAACGCGTCTACCCTTACCGAGGAGGGTCAATAATGGTTTGGGGTGGGATATGTTTTAATGGCCGCACTGACCTTTACATTTGCGAGGGAAACATGAATGCAGCACAGTATAGACAGTATATAATCAACAACATAATTCCAAATTTTCATGCTGCTATCGGCCCAGATTTCCATTTTTTGGACGATAATGCCAGACCTCACAGAGCTGGAGCTGTACTAAATGCAATAGAAACTAACGGAATTCCGCATCTTATGCTACCTCCGCTATCTCCAGACCTCAACTGCATTGAACATGCATGGGACATGTTGCAAAGAAGGTTGGATGATCACATACCGGTTGTCGAAACGTTGGCGCAGCTAAGGGCCATTTTACCTCAACTCTGGAATCAAATTCCACAGGAAATGCTCAACAACCTAATCGATAGCATGCAAAGACGTTGTCAGGCTGTTATTGATGCACATGGAGGCTTTACCACCTATTAATTTACATAACACTTCATTACCGAATAAGAATAACCATTTTTTTTTAGTTTTTCTTTTTTTTCCATTTCCTTTTTCTTCCTTTTTGCGTTTTCAACAAAAAAGTGTTTATTTATTTTAATAAAGTTTATATTTACATAAAAAAACAGGTATCTTGTTTTTTTCACAAATAAAACTCCATATCCTTAACTCCTGTGGAGCAGTTTATTTACCTAACAAGTGCGGAAAAATACTTTCCACAAGTGTTAGGTACAATATTTTTCCTACAGGCGTAAAAATGTAAATTTTTTGTAAATTTTTTTCCGCACTGACAGCCGTGCGGAAAAACTTTTTCCGCACTGATATGCGTGCGGTAAAAGTTTTACCGCACCGTGCGGGAAAACTCATTTTCCGCACGCATATCAGTGCGGAAAATCGATTTTTCCGCACGGCTGTAGGAAAATAGCTATTTACCTAACAAGTGCGGAAAATGAATTTTTCCGCAAGTGTTAGATACAATATTTTTCCTACAGGCGAAAAAATATAAAATTTTTCTTTTTTTTCTGACATATCAGTGCGGTAAAAATTTTTCCGCACTGACAGCCGTGCGGAAAAAAAATTTCCGCACTGATATGTCAAAAAAAAAAAGTTTTACCGCACCGTGCGGGAAAACTCATTTTCCGCACGCATATCAGTGCGGAAAATCGATTTTTCCGCACGGCTGTAGGAAAAAAACATTTTTCAAATATTCCCTTTTCCCTCAACCTCTAAGAACTTTCTAGAACTCAACACTTTGGCTAAGAACTCGAACAATAATGGTATTTTATTGATATTCTTTTTCCGAATAATCTCTTGTGAAAAAGTTCCATTTGAATTTTAGAGAATTCACTCAGAAGCCAGGAGAAAATGAAAATGGGAATAGAAAAAATGGAAAAAAGGACAACGGTGAGTAATAATTGTGCATGTTTTTCTTTACTGTGGTGACAAATTTCCGTCAACAGAATTATTCTAAATATTCTTTTGAAAATCTTCGAAAAATACATTCCATTACAGGTTTCTGATTCAATAATCGATCAGAAGAAATCGACAGATATCTGATTCAATCAGAAATTATGTATTATGTATGTATAGTGGGTGTATCAGTGAACACAAATTTCACTTATCAACTACTTTTTATTCTTTGTCATAACTGAATACATATTTTATATATTACTTCTTTCTTATTTATCCCAAATTCCCAGCTCCTTCATTCTAGTCTGGAAATATTGCTGCAACGTTACCGCGCATTCATAATACCTAGTCTCGGGCGAATTGTATATTTTGCAGTTGGTAAATATTCGCATCATATCCGCAATAAAGAGCCTCCGAGACACGTAATATTTGGCTTTCAGCCTTTCAGTCATTGTTTTGAGATCTAAAAACACAAATGGCAAAATTTGAACTAAAAATATTCAACAAAACTTACCCATTGGATATTCAATATGATCGTAATAATCGGCAACATCAGCTTTGCTTACAGGTTGCCTGAATGGCCATGAAGCATCATGATTTTTCACCTATAAAATTTCAATAAAAAAAAAGAAAACTTGATAAAATTGTAGTTACTTACAGCATTAAGTACACCCTTAAGCATATTAGTAAGAGTATCAACATCCTGAGACTCTTCTAGAAGTTGCCCCCTCGTAATCCTATTGGCCGGCTTATATCCAGTTTCTTCTAAACCAGGAATTGATTCAACTGGAATAGTTTCAACGCCATCTTTGAAGAACGTTATACCTGGATGCACTTTAGCCACTGTCCTTTGTTGATGATAAATCAGCTGCTTAATAAACTTTTTTTGTCTTTGAAGCACATTTGTAGCTTGAGTATAAATTATTTTGGGATTCAGTTCACAATGCATCAAGGTTGCAGCTTCGTATTCTTTGATGTAACCTTGGTACACTGATTGGCTTATTTTAATGTGGTCTGAAAATCCTTGACGTTCAAAATAACCTGGAAAAGAAAAATATGAGTTTCCTAATTGATATTTTAATTTTAAAAAAATTTTACCTATAGCTTCTTTATCAGCATAAGTCAGACAATGATAGATTTCTTTAGAAACATGATAATCTTTGAGATGGTTCATCATATGGGTACCATAACCTTTAATTTGCTCTCGAGAAATTAGAGCGCAAAACACGATTTCGGTGAAGCCTTGAGTGAAAAATGGCCTGAAGCATATTCCACCTATTGGTTCGTTGTTTTTAATCAGAGCTATTGTGCGGTGTTTTCTGGAAAATAGTTTGCATCATAAATATAGTATTAAATTTACTTAAATCCTTACGGATCGAATAGTAGCAAAGTTATATACTCTGCAGGCATTCTAGGTAACTGATGTGAAAAAACATTTTTCAAGCCTATAAGCCACAGCATCACTTGCTTAGATACGGGCTTGGTCAAGCTATTTCCTATTAGGTGTAGTTTAATAATTCCCTTTTGTTCTTCTTGTTTGGGTGTCTCGTCATTAGCGGCAGCATTTTCAGAGAACACCATCTGTAATGTGCATTTTTAGAATTGGATTTCACTATAATTCAATATACTTACGTCAGTTTCGCTTCTATAGTTTGGATCGTCGATAATATTACATATTTCGTCAACCGTTTCTTTCGGGAGATCTTCGAAAGCCTCTTCCATTTTGCGTCTTTTGGTTTCCCGTTGTGGTGTTGCATCAGTAGATCTTATCGCCTTACCTATGAACATTTTTGATGCAGACAAAACTATTAATCAGAATATATGCAAATGATGTGAGCAAGTAAAAAACTACTGTAAATTATGCGGCAGTTAATTATTACACATGTTGAGAAAATTTTTGAATGATATTTAACTTGGTTTGGTCACCATCATCCTTATATCAGTATTGAGAAAAACCTTGGTCAAAGCTGGGAATAAAGACAAAGTGTTACTAGGCGTTAAAATTAGGATTGTCACAGTATCTTGTTTTTTGCAAGTATTTGAAGGAGAGGAACTGAAACCAAAAGTATTTAAAATTTGAGATTTGAGAGGAAGTATCTCTAGTACCTACATGAAAAAGAAAAAGAACAGATACCAAGAAGAAGAAATCTTTTTTATATCATCTCTGAGTATCTGTTTTCAAATGAAGCGGTGATTCCCTACATAATTGTATTTTTTCTACTGACGTTTCATAATACGCCTAAAATCTGTTTCATAATGAATTTCATTACGATACAGATTTTCATTATGATACAGATTTTTCAGACACTGGAATTGAGTATTTTGAACATGAACAATGTTTACATAAAAATAACAGACTTGCTTTGGAATTTTGGATTGTTTCTATTAGTATTTAGCAGAAGAAACAACAAAAAATTAAGAAATCGGGTGCGGAATTTATGCCCAAATGACGTCTAGATCTTGATTTTTGAAATTGTCAAGTTGTCAACAGTTGTCACCAGTTGAGAAGTTTACTATTCTTATAAAATAAATATGTTTTTCGTTCATTAATGCAAGTAGAAAAAATAGTGTATGCAACTCTCATGTAATGGCCATTAATACACGAGCATGTTGTAGGATACGAAACGAGCCGCAGGCGAGTTTCGTATATAACATGCGAGGTATCATTACATGATCATTGCATAATATACTATTATATAATTACTTATTCTATTTTCAGCTTTTTCGAACACAAAATTATCCATTATTTTAATGGCCTATATATTCAAAAAATATAAATGACATTAATAATAGTAAACATAAAATGCCAAATAAAATGGTTTAGTAAAAGACTGTCACAGTTGTGTTGATAATAAATAAAATAAGTGGGGAAAGCAGACATTCCCAATGTTTTTTTCAGAGAACAACTCAAATAGGAACATAGAGAGCAAAGAAAATACTTGGAGAAAATTCACTTACCTGAAGAAACAGTCACAGTAATAAACCCATCCTTATCCAACGTCCCACCACTAAGCCTATCAAATTCTCCTTTCTTAGGTACCACAACGTTTTTATTTAACTTATTAGGCTCAATGGGAAAGCTTATGGGTTGCGCCTTAAAATCCGGATCCCAAATAGGAGAATTGGGAGCGTAAATTTCCTCTTCGAGCTGATTTAAAAATGGTGGAAAATTATTCAAGAGCATTATTCTTCTTTCTGTAGTCATTGTGTCGCGTTCCATTTGAAACTGGTCCATCATTTGTTTTCTAACGTATCTGAAAACGGCCCTGAGTAGCCTTCGGCCAAAAACTTGGATGGTTTCGTAGTGAGGCAAAGAGTCACAAAATGTAGGTACATAACAAAAAATCAACCACCTAGTATACTCGATGGTGTACAAGCTGGCCTCTTCAGCGCTGATAATGTACTTTTGACTGCTAGGTGCAGGAAAATCCCAAGTATTCAAACAATGAAACAGTATTTTAACTAGGTCATACATAGACTTCAGTTCTTGGCCTATGTGAGAGTATTTATATATCAGCAAGTTAGTAACTGCCTTGTAAATACTGGGGGTTTCAAACGGAGGTTGTCCCACAGGGCCTTCTATTGAAGGTTTTTGCAGAGTTAAAACGCAATTTCTAAGAATCTAGGATTTTCGATAATTAGAAATTATAATCAAAAATGTAAGGCTTTTAGGTTTACCTTAAAAAAATACAAATACACTTTTCTTGTTTCTGGGTTTACTTGTCTTGACATTGCCGTGTACATATTGTCTACATCCACCACCATTCCCAGTAACCAGTTGATAGTTTCTTCAGATTTAGATCGCAGATGAGATATATGCATTTCTAAGAAAAAAATAAGAATTATCCATTGTCGTAATCAGTCAGAATTATTAGGACTCATTAAAAGCCTATGAAATTGACTGTTCAAACTAGATTAAAGTTAGCTTGTAGTGCAATCCACAATAAGAAACTTGACTGCTGATTCCTCTATTCATTATAAACTCTAAAGCATAAAAAAAAACAGTAGAATTGAAAAAGTGATTGCAGTCAATAATTTATACAGTAGTTTTAGAGGTGTGGATTATTATTTTATGAAGACAAATCGCTATATTTGAACCCTTTAAGAAGAGAAATTTCAACTTCAAGAGCTCTAAAATGCTGATTTATTTCTGTTTATGAAATGAATATATTGTACTTACCTAATGTATGTTCACATTTACAAATATCATCAAATCCTCGAACTCGAGAATCCCCTTTACTGGATAAAGGGTATTCGGACTTCCGATCATTTGGCAGTTTCCATCCAATACATTCACAATTGGCGCTCTAAAATTCAAATATAAAAACAGTGTGAGAACTGCTTTTGGCTTGTTTTTGGATCAAATTGCAGTCTTTTTTTTAGTTCAAAGTATCTTTATCTCAATCTTTATAATTCATACCATATGAACCATATCCATAAAAAAATACTGCTCTGCCCTCAGCTCAGCCAATGGGATGATAGATACATAAAACAAAATCGACATAAATAAATTCTCTCAAACTAGATCAATGGTAACAAATTCAGTCTGAATTTGAATGTTGGACATTGAGAATGAGTGAATCCGCTAGCTGTGCGCATCAGTCCACCTTAATGAATTTATTTAGATGCCTCTCGAAGTTGAAAGCCAGCCCATGGGGCTGCCCTAATATTCTTTGGAATCCTGTTGAAAAGTTTTGCTACACTCTGTAACTAAAGGAAAAGTGCAGTCCTATGTTAAGGTACACTTGATAGGCTACTATGACGAGGGGAGCACTTGTGGAACAAGCCAGACCTGATCAATTTGTCTGCTAAGTACTTGGATGTGTTATTTTTTCTGAATTTTTGCACTAGATATCCAAGCTGGACTTTGAATTTTTGCTGGAGATTTAGCCATCTGGTATGTGGTATTTACAAGGGTATTTACAAATACCAAAACTAAACCGAATACATGAATTTTGACCTTTTTGCAGACTGTCTCTATCTCTTTGAAGCACAGCTGATCAGAAAGCAACACTGCAATACACAAGCTGTGATAAAACTGAACTGTCGCACAGTCTAAGTTTAATGTCTATGCTCAAAGTGTTCTTGTGAATATAAAGAGTTTTTAGACCAGCATATATGACCTTTGAAGTAAAGTAGAGACATGTTGTGACTATCTGAAATCCAAATTCATCTAAAGTCCCAAATTCCTATAGTAGTTGGCCACATTTAGGGCGGTATTATTGAGACAAATCTTAAAGTCATTGTGAATTATCAACTCACTCTATAGCTGCCATAAACCAACATTCCTCTCTTCAAGAGAGTTGATAAATAGTTTCCAGGTCGCTATTAATGTTTTCGATGGCCATGCGGACGTTATCCATAGGAAAAAAGAAGTATAGTAGCTGATCATCAGCAAACTGGTAAAAATTACAGAATTTTGAAAAACCAGCTGGAAAATATTAGGGAGCCTAAGATCAGGCCTAAGGTGCTCCCTTGGGGAAGTGGGAAAAACCTTTATCCCACTGGGCCCACTGTTATTTATTATATTTATAAACAATAGTGCAAATGGTTGAGCATTCAAAAATTTTGATTTATGCAGATGAAATTAAAATAAGAAATATCCGAGGAAATATCAATGATTGTCAAAATCTACAAAGTCATTTGTGCAAATTGTATAAATGGTCTGTGGACAACAAGTTAGCAGTTAATGTATCAATGTTTTTTACGATGAAATTTACAGCAAAAAAATAGACAAAATCAAGTAGAATATGATTACTTTTTAAACAATATTAAGTTGAAAGAGAAAAACTCAATTAGAGACCTTGGTGTTTTATATGACAATTTTATTAGCTTTAGTGATCATGTCGACAGTAGACCTAATAGTGGGTGAGGCACTTAAGATTATAGGGTTTATCTATCGTAACACAAAAGATATGGGCATTTCTACAGTCAAACTTTTGTATGATTCACTAGCTAGGACAAAGCTAGAATATGCATCAGTTGTATGCGACTCATGTTATCAGAGGTCAATCCTCGGGTCAATCCATGCAATAGAAAATTGTCAAAAGAATTTTTTTAAAAGATTACACTTTAAGTGATTCGGGGTTTACCCAGTTGATGTACCATATGATGTGTTGTGCATCCAATATGGACTATGGTTACAGTAGGTTAGATGTAAGAAGAAAATATTTTAACATAATGTTTTTGTATAAACATCTTCATTATCATGTGGAATATGAACATCTGTTGAGCCTGATAAATACAGGGTGTCACGAAAGGTTTGTTACAAACTTCTAGGGATGGTAGATCTCATAAAAATTAAGTTTTTTTTTTTTGATAAACATATGTCCGGAAATGCTTTGCTCTCCAGATACAGGGTGTTAAACTTTGTAAAAAAAAGCCAATTTTTTTATTAATTCTTAGAAATGCGTTGGACAAATTAAATGAATTTTCATAGTTTTTTGACGCCTTTATGAGGTATCTTTTGGACTGCTCAGAGTTGACCCAGTAATTCCAGGGACGTGCCACAGGTTCTGTCGAATGGTTTTTTTTGCACGAAAAACATTGTACAGGGTGGGCCAATTTGGACACTTTCTTATGGAAACACCCTTTATTTTTAGAGATAGAAAAAAATGAACCCCCCACTCTGAGGCTGAAATTTCATGAAATTTTGATTGATGCAAACCGCATTTTGATATCTTAACCGTTTAGCCGCTAGAGGGCGATTCTCGATTTTGAGAAATACTGTGAAACCTTCATAACTTTTTTATTTATGAAAATAATTCATTTCTGTAAAGACTTTCTGGAAGCACTTTTTTAAGTGGAATTCAGTGACGTACTCAGCTTTTTTCTATTTGGCTCCAATTCCGAGATATTGACCAAAATCCGATTTTTTTCAATAGGATATCCTATATATTAATAGCTCATTGAAAAGCTCTGCTTTTGCTGATTTCAATGATATAAAATTCGATAGGTTTATTTCCAACGGTTTCCGAGAAAAAAATTATTTTGATTTTTGTCATAAGACACAATGTGTTGGAAAAGGACTTTATATCTGTAAGGAAAACGAGAAAGGTCTCTTTCTAACACATTGTTTCTTATGACAAAAACTGAAATAATTTTTTTTCTCGAAAACTGTTAGGGATAAACCTATTGAACTTTATATCATTGAAATCAGCAAAATCAGAGCTTTCCAATAAGCTATTAATATACAGGGTGTCCCAAAAAGATACCGACAAACTTTAAGGGGTAGTAGAGGACATCAAAACAAGCATTTTTGTTTATATAAACATGTGTCCGCAAATGAGCCATTTGGGCTGTAGAGCAAAAAAACTGTTTGGTATGTAGTTTTATTCTTCGCAATAATTAAATCACTGTTTACTTATCAATTTTGCTTTAATAGCAAATAAATTATGGTTTACAATAATTGTTCAGCTCGCGAACTGTTTGGAATATTCCGGGATTAGCTTCTACATGGGTACAACTCGCTAGTTTCCTAGCTATCAGATTTTCCTCATTACGAACAGGTGTTTCGTAGACTAAACTTTTCAGTCGATGACCCGACGGTGTAATCTTTGCATTGAAGTAAATGGTCAACATTTTGAACAATTATTCTAAACCATAATTTATTTGATAATAAAGCAAAATTAATAAGTAAACAGTGATTTAATTATTGCGAAGAATAAAAGTATCAAACAGTTGTTTTTGGTCTCATTTGCGGACATATGTTTATATAAACAAAAATGCTTGTTTTGATGTCCCCTACTACCCCTTAAAGTTTGTCGGTATCTTTTTGGGACACCCTGTATAGGGTGTTCTATTGAAAAAAATCGGATTTTGGTCAATATCTCAAAATCCGAGTCAATTAGAAAAAAACTGAGAACGTCACTGAATTTTTCTTAAAAAAGTGCTCTTAGAAAGTCTTTACGGAAATCAATTATTTTCATAAACAAAAAGGTTATGAAGGTTTCACAGTATTGCTCAAAATCGAGAATCGGCCTCTAGCGGCTAAACGGTTGAAGATATCAAAATGCGGTTTGCACCAATCAAAATTTCATGAAATTTGAGTCTCAGAGTGGGGGGTTAATTTTTTTCTATCTCTAAAAATAAAGGGTGTTTCCATAAGAAAGTGTCCAATTTGGACCACCCTGTACAGTAGATTTATTTTCAATAAGGTTATGTTTTTTGAATAGAACAGTTAAAGATATAACTTTTTTTCCATATGCTGCTTTGTTTTCGATATAAAATTTAAAAACCATTTCAGGCGAACCACGAATGTCACTGACCTCCATAAATGAAAAATAAATTGCCACAGAATTCCTTGAAATTTTACCAGGCTATTTGTTGCTTAAAAAAGAAAAACAAAAAAAAATATTCTAAAACGCACGCACTTCTGAGAATTAAGTAATGTAAAAATTGATTTTTTTACAAAATTTTACACCCTGTATATCTGGAAAACGAAGCATTTCCGGACACATGTTTATCAATAAAAAAGCTTTATTTTTACGAGATCTACCATCCCTAGAAGTTTGCAACCAGATTTGAGAACTAGACAGTCACAGATATTGACTTATGATACACCAAGAACAAATAGGCAGTTTACCTCACCTGTAGTAAGAATGTGTGATATAATCAATGAAACAAATTGTGATATTTTTCAAAGTAAAATAATTTTATTTAAGAAGGAGGTACAAAGTAGATTAGGATGTTTGGGTTGTTGGGTAGTTTGTAGTTTTAGACATTCTCTGTAAATGCAAGATGTAGAGGATATCGAATAAATAAATAAAAAAGTTATAAAATTAGAATAACTACCTCTAAAAGAAATCCTTTGCCTTCTAAACAAAAGATACAATTTTAAAAGATTGATGCTGTTCCGATCAAATCCAAAATATTTTGGTTTCAAGTAAAGAATTGAATGAACTATGTTATCAAATGCTTTGCTATAAGTACGATAAGCAGTATTTGAAGTTTCTGTTCAGAAGCCAAGAGGAAGTGGACATTAACTTTTAGGAGAAAAGCCGTTGTGGTACTATGAGACACCCAAAACCCAGATTGTGTAGGGGGAATGGTTTCGTTGACCTGAAGATGTTTTCATTTTATAAAAATCTGTACGATAGAAATAAGAGGGTAGGTTGGTCCGTCCCATATTATGTATTTCTCCTTTAGGGAACAAATTAATGCCATATGCAACTGGCACTTTATTATGTTCCTGAATAATGCACCAAAGACCAAAGTCATATTGTGTTCATGAAATTATACTAAACTTACTGAAAAAGTATCAAACATTTTACCCTCAATTTTACCAATCTCGCTAAAACCTAATTTAAGCCTACTATGCTCAGAAGCCTCTAAAGTTCTTTTTCATTAAACAATGATATATAGCCTCTATATGAAACTGCCAAAAACACCATAAATAAGAGAGTTTCATGAGCCAATTCTTACCTGACATTTTGAGTAAACAGCCAACCGTTGCAGTTTACCATTCAATGGGTACAGCAGCTGTTCCTTCTTCTTTTGCTTTATAATTTGCAAATTGTTCCAACGACTAGTACTGTCGTACCTTTCTTTCTTGTCCTCGTTGAGATTCTCACCCCGTTGGGCCCCAGAGCTACTTTCTTCCATTTCCATTTTTTCAATTCTGGTAATTGGTGTTTTTGGATTTTACGAAGCTAGAATAACATTGTGTTTGTGCTGCACCTGAACTTGAGAAATGTTTATCGACAATATCGATCTTTTAAATATAAAATTTCTATTATTAATTACAAAATACAATTATTTATTTATCCTAAAACAATAAACAACAAATCTGTCAAAACTCAAATTGTGACGACGGTTTTGACAGTAAAAAAAAATGTGTGGTGGACATTCTCTTTCAAGGATAATACACACCGCTACACAGGAGGATTGCTTATCGGCATCGTTTTTAGCATATATACCTTTTTGGAATCGCGGCCATATTGTGTAACACCATTGACAACGTGATCAAATACGTCGTCTCATCTGGTTGCGCCAGCGGTCGTAGTTTAGAATGTAAAGTCCGTCGATTCTAATCTGATACTCGGAAGGCATGTGAGCTGGTGGCACCCTACATTAGAACGCTAATGGTCACCTGACGTCACACCTGTTTTTGCCATTTACTCCACCCCCTCGCTCCTCATACGGAAAGTGTCAAATCAAAATCGACGAACAATACATTTATAATGGAAAATATTAAAATATTTAATTTTGATTAACAAAATAGGCAAAGAGGAAGATGAAAACGAGATCTAAAAAAGAGTTTAATGTTAATTATTAATGTAGTAAAACCAAGTATGCATAAAGCAAAAGCCCGCGGAATCATAACCTGTAGTGCAACCTACAGTGACTCTATTACCCACAGTGGCGACAATTACTGTCTTATTTTCGATTGGTTCTAAAATCCCATATATATTGAAAACGCGGCCATCTTGTTCCCACCTAATGCTTATTTCAAATATGAATATATGGGATTTTGATGAACATCCATCATAAAACATGGAAAACAACGTATTTGATGGACCTAATAATAGTCATCAAATACGTCGATTGAAATTTTTTATGATAGATGTCCATTTAAATCCTATATATTAATATTTAAAAGTAACAAGAGGTTGGGAACAAAATGGCGGCGGGACCTCTATTGTCGCCACTGTATGTAATAGTAGATTATACCACGAGTCAATAATGATAGCTATTATTCCCGAGGATTATTACGAACTGAGCCGCGTCAGCGGCGAGGGAGTAACATTCCGAGGGAATAATAGCCATTATTGCGAGTAGTATACTCTACTTTATTTACGACAAATTAATTTATTTGAGATTTTCAATGAACAAATTTCATCCGTCTCATAATTTTCAATACAAATCCACAAGCACTACACGTTTGACACTGACACTTTTGTGGAATAATGACCATTAATCCCGCTACTCGTCATTAATCCCTGGAGGAATAACATATGTCATTATACTGCCAAAATCACAAATATAATACGCACATTATACATTAGTCGTAAATAAAGGTTTATTTAGCCACTGTAGTGCAACCAGCCTACGTCAAGGCGAGAAACAATATGCTGTCCACGTCACAACTGGTGATTTGACGTGGGGGGCTTCAGATTTGTTCCACACAGGCCTTATGAGGATAGGCTATTCTGTAGTAGTAGTGTGTATTATCCTTGATTCTCTTTTACCTCGGTTAAATTTTAACCAGATTAGGGTTGCCTTAATAAAATTATGTCAAATTCGCACCAACGATATTTGCCTCTCTTTTATTTTCTCGCTCTGGAACCAGAGCTGTTGTACTGAGTATTTTGAATACTTGAAGTAAATACTTAAGTACAAAAATATACTTAAGTATTTGACTTAAGTACTAATCCAAACCTTGGTACTTGTACTTGCAATTTCAAGTTTTTCAAATTTTACTTGTACTTAATACTTAAAATGTTAGTCAAGTATATTTTACTTGAAAGCTTTTGAAAATTTGTACTAAGTGATATTAAATTACTTAAGTACCAGTGAAATTAGTCGAAGTAAATATTTTTAATTGAAGTATTTTCAAATACTCCAAAATTTACTTGACGACTAAATAAAGTTTTGTCTATTCATCGCGTGACGTCATAAACACACGCATAAATTGCAAAACTAATTTAAACTGACGATAATGTCGATAATAGCTCTGTTCCAACTGAGATGAAAAACGTTCTAGAACGGTAATGTCCAGTCGATCAATTCATTCGTCAAGTAGGATAAACGTTCAACTTACTGGTTCTGGAACGGTTCTCATGTCGGTTGGAACAGAGCTGATATGCAGCCAGGGACGGAGCCATAGGGGGGGCTGGGGGGAGGGTGGCGCCCCCCCCCAAGTTCCCAAAATATATCGAAAGTTGGGAAAACTAGGATAAAAAATTTAGAGTTGGGAAAAATTGGTAGACAAAAATTTGCGCACCTTATTCGCGAGGACTAATTAAAATTAACATAAGAATCGTGTCACGTGTAGTAATAATGAATTGCAAAATCACCGGACAACAGAATGACGAAATCCCAATGGTCGCAGAGAGTTTCTTGCGTTGCACTTTGCACTGCACTAACGCCACTAGCCTGTGGCAGTGGCACATGACACTTGTGGCAGTAGTAGCATTAGCACCACTAGCGCTATATAGTATATTAGGTAATCCAAACTTCTTATATTATGTTGCCTTCTGCGTTCTCCGCATTCTTCGCTCGCTATTCAGATTTCAGCATAACTCTGAATTCTGGTGCTCTTGAGTTAAAGAAATAGTTTTTAAAAAGTTTCACTTCTTAACACGTGTACGATGCTACACATGATTTTTCTGTAGTGAAACTTCTTACGCGGCGATCTGATTTGGACGAGAATGGAATAACACGTTTTGGCAAATTTCGGCACACGAGAGACGAGAGAGAAGAAAGTTATAACGTAAAGAGGCGGAGAAAGACAGCGAATGATAATGACAGCCGACGAACGATTGACACAAACCAAGTGAGAGAGCGTGAATCACGGTGAGTTTTTGTGAACCCAAGTGGCAGTTTTTCTCGTAGAGTCCAAGTGCGTGTTCTGAATGATTCGAAAATTAATTGAGGCCGTGCGGATTCGACAAGTTTTGCGAACAAAACTAAAAACTGAAAAGCATCAGTTGCCATTTTATCTGCACTATGGGTCTGCCTGCAAAGTAAAAACTGTGCGGTTACTCTTGTCAAGCGCCGATACCCTTGTGACGTCAATACAGAGGCGCGTTTATCTTTTGTGTAGCCTTTTTATACTCCGACTCATTCGCTACATGTGATTTTTTTTTATGTTTTAATAAAGTTGGGAAAATTAGGAATGTCACCCCCCCCCAAACCAGAGGCCTTCGCTACGTCCCTGTATGCAGCAAGAATCAGAAAACGCGCGCCAGCGCCGGCCGTCGGATTCAGTTTATGCATATGACGTCACAGTGCTAGGAACGGGAAATTTATACCACTGTATCTTTGCAACGGTTGGTCGTAGCCTAGTGCAGTTTGAAAATTTGTTCTTGGCTTTTTTTTCTAAAACTTTTATTTTTGGGTCACACCCCCTTTAAGATTATCGATATTATAGCAATAATTTAATTTGTTAGTTTAATTGGATCAATACTTGAAATAAAAAATACTTAAATACATTTTTCTACGTGAGTGTCATTTAGAATTTGGTACTCGTACTTGAATTTGGACATTTCAAGTCAATTTACTTGATATTTTAAGTATTTCCTTCTGTACTTATACTTGTACTGGTACTTGATTCGTATTGAAAAAGAAACTTGAACTTAATACTTAAGTACTTTTTCTCGGTACTTACAACAGCTCTGTCTGGAACAAAAGACGTCTTTTTCTGTTGAACCGTGTTTTAAAACGTTTCAAAACTGGTTCGAATGCTACGTCATCATATCGGATCGGTGGTGATCGAAAATGCCCCGTTTTAAAACAAAGCCCATGACATCTCTTAAATTATTGTTTTCTGTATTTTGAGGTCAGCTGTTTAACGCCTATTTTGAAACAGGCTGAAAGAGCGGTTCGAAACTGGGTTGAACCGTTTCCGTATATGACGTCACCGCTGCACAGTGATGTGCCTGTAGACAATGTCAACGTAAACAATTGATTGTCTACGCGTAGACAATTCGAATTGTTTACGTGAGCATTTGTCTACACATTGTCTTCATGCGGCGTAAACAATAACTTATGTTAAAAAATTCGAAAAAAAATATCAAAAGTTACTATACCATCACTATCACTTCGATATCAGCATTCACTTATTATAAAATATCAGGAAAACCAATAATAAAATAAAAATAATTCAAAAAAAGGAAAGTGTGAGGTTAGAATTAAACGTCATTTATATTATTTTACATTGTTGACACGTTGTCTACATTGTCTACATTATCTACACGTAAAGTAGACAATGAAAGTTTACGTGTAGACGCACATCCCTGCCGCTGCAAACCAAAAATGTAGCGTTTTAAAATGTTTCAAAATATTTCAAAACATTCCGTCAGAAAAAGACGTCTAAAGAGTTCATTGCTAAAGATAGATTGATGAGTAGGCCGATCTCTGGGATCCCGACAAGTAGAATTCTACTTTCATGACGTCACTCGCGACCTATTTATCGCGTACAGTACAGCGATGATGACGATTGCTAGGCAACCTGACCTCATGAAAGTAGAATTCTCGTTTCTACCAGAATTCTCGTAATCCCAGCCAGAGCCAGGGCGGCATCGTACGATTAAATTTCGGTTCGATTAAATTCTGGTTCCGCGGAGCTTCAGAAACAGGTGACTTTCGTAAGTGCCAATATATTGGCGAATTCAATCAGTGCGCACTGAGTGTATCCGCATCTTTTTCTAAAAGCATGTAACATGTAAGGATAAGGATACATTTTTTTTTGCACTGGTTCGACAAATGGAAAACAAGTGGAAAACGCTTAAGAATATGACATTAGTGACAGTGGCGCAGACGTACCAAATAAATTTGAAATTTTTGATATTTTTGTTTGTAAACAATCACATGGCATAGGTTTCAAAGCTTTATTTAAACTTTCTTTAGGAAAATGGGTGTAGATATTGATATACTCGAGCACTGCAGGAAGGCAAGAGCAGCTCACGGACCCCCATACACTTGTCCCGTAGGTAAATGCGATAGAAGCTATAAAACGGTTTGTGGTCTACAGTACCATCTGAAAGTAAGCACTGGTTATTCAAAACTTACTAAAACATACATCAAATCATATTTTTTTCGATTTAGCACCACAATCACGATAACCCAACACCGGAATCTCCCGCTGTACCGTCCACTCCTAAAAATAAAAAAGGCCGAAAAAGTACAAAAGCATTGGGGGGTACCACACCAAGTATAATAGCAAATGCACCAGAACCACTAACTTTTGAAGAGGCCCAAAAAATGGTACAATTTGAAATTAACGGAGTTATATGCAGGCAAGTTATCCCTTTACCAATTTATATATTATATAAAGAGCGCACACACAACATTACAGATGTAATAGTGCGCTGCTATCTTTAGCAATAGCAATGTTCCTATTAAATTATTTAATCATTAATTATTAAGGATATTAACCTAAATCTTAAGGAAACAGAATTATATTTTATAGATGTTATTGCTAAATAAATAAATAAATAAATATAAAAATTTCAAAATATCTATTCAAAACAAACATGAATTTAGGTGGAATATAAATGAGCCCTTGGAAGTAATCTCGAAAGAAGACTCGTCAACTCCTGAGGCATCAAAAACTGAAGCAACGGACACAAACTTAGACCAACCTATTGTTACACCATTACCTACAGGACCACCACCAGAACCATTCATTCAGCTGCCTGAAGCTACCTATAAGGAACTTGAGGATTATAATATTTGTGACGCACCACCAAGGCCTAATGCCTACATAAGATTTATTGAAAAGAGCACTGAAGAGTTGGATGGGGAAGTGGAGTATGATGTTGACGAAGAAGATACTGCTTGGTTATCTATTATGAATGAGAAGAGGTAAGACTGGTAGGAAATTCTAAATGATTATTCGATATTCTTTTTAACATACAGAGATATCTAGGGTAAAGTTTTTGGATCTTCTCAATTTGATCCAGGTTTATTATTGCAATTGGAGACCATACTGAGCTAATTAGTACACTCAAGTTTTTAACAAACCAGTGAATTGTTTAATTTAATTACAGTTGACCTCGCAGTTGACATTTCAAAGTTTTCACTGTTTCTAATTATAAAGCCCTAGATTTGGTATACTTTGCTGATGATACTATCAAAGTGTGGATTAAATTTGGGATTCTTCTGAAAATTGATTGAGTACTGTGGCAACATTTTTAATAGGTATATTTTTAATTGAATAATCCTGAATAAACCTCGGGATTAACTAATTCAGTTTTCTAGTGAAAAATATGCTATTGCATTGAACAATAATAATTCACTTCCCATCGTAAAATGGTCTATCATTCACTTATCCACTGCTGTCTCTCATATCTAACGCTTGTCTGGGAAAATGCAACTGCCAACTACCTGAAACCCCTAAAAGTAGGTACTTCAGAACAGGAACTTACAATCCCAATAAAATCATGAGCATTAATTCACTGTATATTTTTCAAACTTGCACATTTATCCACAACATTCAAATATCAAGCATTCATTCCAATATCAACCTTACTACTGTTAACTAAATCCACCAAGAAGCTACAAAAACCACTAGTGGACAACGCAGCATAATGGCAAAAGGCTTGCACATCTACAACAAGATTCATCAAGATGTAAAGGAATGTCGCAGAATAAGGCCCTTTCAATAAAGACTCAAAGAACTAATCCAACAATTTTTCTCATGACAACAATGAAACATTCCCTAATGTTTATCTTGCTCTGTCTTTAAATTTTATACGTACAATCAAAGTCAACATAGATATATTTAGCCTCACATAGATTTAACACACATTAAACTGAATGACCCATATAGCCTCGTGCTCTAGGTCTTAAACAACGCATAAGCTTATATTATGAATGTTTTTATAGCAAATGGCCGCACAACATCTGACTCTCATAAACATTTAAACTTACCATACGTTTTTAGAGAACAACAAGGATTGACTCCAGTGAGTGTCGATTCATTAGAACTACTCATGGACAGATTGGAAAAAGAATCTTATTTTCAAGTAAATATTTTTCATTTTTGTGAATACTTGGACCATAAATATATGATTTTCAGGCAGCAGTTAATGGCCACTCCAGTGGAGCGGTAGTAGACGATGACGCAGTCTGTTGCATTTGCATGGACGGAGAATGCCAAAACACCAACGTAATTTTATTCTGTGACATGTGCAATTTGGCAGTACACCAAGATTGCTATGGAGTTCCATATATCCCTGAAGGCCAATGGCTATGCAGACGTTGCTTACAATCCCCCAGTAGACCAGTAGATTGTGTTTTATGTCCAAATCAAGGCGGGGCATTCAAACAAACTGACAGAGGCACTTGGGCTCATGTTGTGTGCGCTCTATGGATACCGGAAGTTAGATTTGCTAATACGGTTTTTTTGGAACCAATTGATTCAATTGAAACAATCCCTGCAGCCAGATGGAAACTATACTGTTATGTATGCAAGCAAAAAGGTGTTGGTGCTTGCATACAATGCCACAGAAATTCTTGTTATTCAGCATTTCATGTCACTTGTGCCCAACAGGCGGGACTTTATATGAGAATGGATGCTGTCAAGGCAATTTTTTTTTAACTGTCCATGAAATATATCTTGATAAATATTGTTTTAGGGTGTAGAAATTGCAGGACAACCAGTAATGGTCCAAAAAATGGCATACTGTGATGCCCATGCCCCTACTGAAGCTCAAGGAGACAAAAAGGAAGATGCAAAGAAAAAAATGATGCAAGCCAGAAAAGTTTTGGCTAAGAAGCGTACATCAGCCCCAGTCATACTCATCCCAACTATACCTCCGGAAAGAATCCAGGAAATTGCCTCACTTGTAACAATAACAAAAAAATCCCAATTCATTCAAAGACTTATAGCTTATTGGACATTAAAAAGGCAACACCGCAACGGGGTACCATTATTGAGAAGATTACAAAGTGCCCAGGGTGGTACTCGTGATTCTAACACTCTCAATGTTGACACTATTGAATTATGCAGGCAATTAAAATACTGGCAATGTTTGAGGCAAGATTTAGAGAGAGCAAGGTTGCTATGTGAATTGGTGAGAAAAAGAGAAAAAATGAAGCTAGAATATACTAGAGTTTGTGAAAAGGTTTTACTTGTAAAATTAAAGCCGCTTGAAGCAAGTTTGGGCAAAGTCCTGGATTTAGTTGAAGCTAAAGATACCAATGAGATTTTCAGTGAACCAGTTGACTTGGAGGAAGTTCCCGATTATACAACAGTAGTTACAGAACCGATGGACTTGAGCACAATGCGTCAAAAACTTAAAGACGGTTTTTACAAGGATTTGAAATCAATGGAAAAAGATTTTGACTTGATGATTTCCAATTGTTTGGCTTATAATAATAAGGATACAGTATTCTATAAGGCTGGTATTAAGATGCGAGACCAATGTGGTCAGATATTCAGGCAAGCCACAAAGGATTTGGAATCTGTGGGATTGCTGGAAAGCGATAATAATCAGGGAAAGGGTTCTGGAAATGGCAGAGAGGAGGCTCTTGCTTCGGATATTGATAAGGAATTGGAGAATTTGCAGGTAAGAATAATTACCCTTGATAAAATATATATTTTTTTAAATTTCTGGTTGGCTTGTTATTTAAAGTCATGTTTTTGCTAGCACTGTTTGTTGTTGCTTTATTTAGTATTTACTCGGGTTCCAGTACCAGTAAGTTCCGTCTTGAGTTTGTGTCACGTTCTATAATAATAATAATAATGATATTCAATATTCAAAAGGGCAAGACAGGACCGGAAGTTATATCCAAGCTTGAAGATTTGTTAGTGAGAAGTCAAACTTTGAAACACGGTTTAGCCAGAGCCAAAAGAGTGAAAGGGGTGAGGAGCGAATTGAACAAGGCTAAGAGAAGCGCTGCTCAGAAAAACAAGGAGTCTAAAGGTATGAGGTTTTCCTGTTGAATACACAAAAATTATTTTAAAAAGTTAGTTCTAAGATTTTTTACGTCATAGAGTTAAATTTATGTAAATTTTCTTGCTCTTCCGAAAGCACTTCCGGAAAAATAACTCATTTCAATAGTGTTAAGTTTGTGTTCACAGTTTGTCCAGTCAGATGTTTGAAACTCTTGATTCTGTTAACAGCTAAAAGTGATGTTTAATTGTAAGAAATGTTTTTTTTTTTTAGAAAAAGATTTGAAGACGGACTCTGAAAGTCAAGCAACAGTAGAAAGTCAGAGCGAAATTGACACTGAACAAACTGATCAAACTGATGTGGCTTCTCAATCAGAAACGGAAAAAAGCAGTATAAACTCAACTTCAGAAGGTAGAATTTATCCTTATTATTAATACCTACTTTTAGTGAGCATTCTACATATTTTAAGGTGGTGTAAATCGGAGGACTGCAGTGCTTTTCGCCAAAAAGTCCTCTACGAAAAAAGATGAAGCAAATGAAAAATCAGATGCGCAATCATCAGCTAATAAGTAAGTCTGATTCCAAACAAAAATCTCTTAATAATTAAGTACATTTATTATTATAGAAAAAAGAAGGGTCGATTCGCAAAAAAATCAGAAACACCTAGCAATGTCCCCAAAACCATCGATCCAAGTAATTTAATCAAGGAGCAATCCAACGTACCAGATAGCTTTAAAGTAAAGACTCTATCCATCCATTAAAAATTTGATCTTATAACTTTTTTCTTAGATATATCGAGGTGCTAGGGAAACAGACGATGAAAAAAGTGACAGTGATAATTCATTATCTACATGCTATTCGCTTAATCCCAGTGATATTGAAAGCGATGAAGAGGATGGCAGTGATTTGTTGGCTGAAACTGGAATTGAGAAAATTCTGCAACCTCTGCAATTGGTTTGGGCCAAGTGTCGTGGTTATCCTTGGTATCCTGCTTTGATTATTGATCCAGAAATTCCCAAAGGTAAAAATAAAACATTTTTTTCAAATGATTATATGGCCATTTATTTTATATTACATATTTGCTAATCTACAGATGAAAAATTATGGAATATATTCACACTTATTTGATTAGGTGGCGGCTCGATGTTTTTATTTGATTGTGTACTTGAAAATGTGAAGGCAAAGTAGTTAACAAGATTCTGATTTGTAATAGTAATGGATGTGTGCAAATAATTTTGAAGGGTTTGTAATAAAACAGCATTTATTAGAGAGCCGCCACTAATGCTTAAATTAAAAATAATGTTTACCAAAGCAAGGAAATTCTAATTTCACAAAATGGGTCAGATTTGAGATTTTCACTTTTTTGCTAATTCCGTTTTTGCCGCATTGAAAACTTTGGTTGCTATGAGATCAGATTGGAAAAAACTGAAAATTTTGCTGATAATGAGACAAAAGTAACCCAAAACCATTATAAAGAGAAACTCATCCATTTCAAATTAATTTATTGATTTTTGTGGTCCAAGAGGAGAGGATACCAGTAAAAGAAGATTATGGGTTCGAGTTCGATATGGAGAGGCAACATAGTTCTGACTACAAAAAAATAATGTATGAAGATGATTCTATAGGTGACTGCAAATCTGTTGTACAAAAAATATCTACCAGAAAACAACTTTGCGTTAAGCCTCTTCACAGAACTGCAATTTTAGATGGCGAGTACGAGTAAATTGTTAAGCAAAATAGGTATATAGAAAAATAAAAAGTTCAATTGTACCTGGAATAAACAATATTCTCAAAATGGTATCTCTCTGGAAAGGACGGCAAATGAAGTTGAGATCTGTATTTAGGATAGATTCCTATCAAAAAGCTCTAGATTGAATTGAGACTTTTTTTTAACCTATGGTATAGAAACTTAGAATATTATTTAAAAATAACACTTCTACGAATTAAATTATGTATACTAGGTGTATTATGTATGAAGAAAAAACTATAAAATAATAATACTGGTTTTCAAATAATGTGTCCATCATTTATTTGAAATTTCATCCAAATCTTCTGATTTGTCTTTTTCAAAAACACCAATAATCAAGCTCACAGCATGGTATACTGCATAACCGAAAGCAAATATTATGCAAGCAAGGTAGATAATACTGTAAATCAGTAATTCACAGGTCATGTGGCGGCCAAAAATAACAATACCGTTTCTTGTTGCTCTGACAGTTGGTAGACTGATGTCCAATCCTGAATCCGGGGTATCATGAGGTGGAAGTTTTTCAGAAATATCTAACCCCTCAACTTGGGTTGATTGGGAATCGATTTTATTTTCAGAATTGTTGGTCAGTATTCCTAAAGAAAAACATCAAGTAAGTGTTATACATATAATTAATTCTTGATATACCTACCTAATACAAATGTACCAGAATTCTTCCTTTCCACGTGGACATCAGCATCTGTGAAGACCTCAAGGCTCCCGATCTCTTCTTTTTTTTCAGTATCATTTGGTAATTCGGGATTGTTGGCATCATCAAAATAATCATTGTTTTTGGAATCACGAGGCTTAGTTAGCAGTTGAGGTCCTAAACAAAAACATTAAGTAAATGTAAAGTGATTCTTACAATGATGCTAACGTACCAAAGGTCTGCATTTCCATGTCGGTAGCGGTATCTGTAGACGTTTTCAGCAACTTCTCTGTTTGTTGTTCAATTTCCGTTTCAATAAATTGTTGCATTTCCACTTTGTTGAACAAGGGAGCCGTTTCTATATCGCTCATCTATCATTAACAATATCATGAATCATTTGAAATACAGTTTAGAATTAGTGTTTGGTTCACCAATGTAGCCAGTTGTGATTTATGAGCTGGCAATTTTTTAGATCAAATTGAGTTTTGGACTTTTTTTTCGTTTAAATTTTTCAAAGCTAGTTCAAATGAAATTTTTATGTAGGTTCCAAAAATGCAAATCAAAACCTACTTAGATTGGTATTTAAGTACAATTTTAACGTTATGGCAAAAAAAAAAAAATTAAGTGTAAAACTCATTTAAATTTGGTATATGGAAGTAGTGGGTGAGATGATGAAATAAGACCATTTTTTCACAAAACTTTCCTATCCAATATTGTACAGATTGTTTCAAATTCGAGCCACATCATTGGGATTTCGGAAACGGTGAGAGATTCGCGAAAACGCACATTAGCACAGGCGTGGGAATCTATAACGAGAACACGGGAAAGACGTACAGTCTAAACCTGGGCTCAATGAATACCATCTTGCAGGCTGGAATAGTTGCGATAACAACTTGTGCGAGAGAGACAGTTCCTAATCAGACGGTCAGGATCAGAAGTGATAGCCAAGCAGCTCTTAAACCATTGAGGAGTGTAAGCACCATGTCCAAAACAGTGAAACACTGCCAAAAAACTGTAGCTGAACTGGCAAAACACTACAAGTTGATCCTTGAATAGGTGCCAGGACACGCAGGGAGTGAAGGGAATGAAAAAATTGATCTCACAAGAAAAGGATCAGAGAAAACCCTAATTGGACCCCTGCCTACATGTGGTATACCATATCCAACATGTAAGAGGCATACTAGAGGAACAGTTAAGAAAGCAACACAAGAAACTCTGGATGGAACTTCCTGGACTCCAGGCAGTCCAAACTCTTAATGAAAGGACCGTCTAAGAGCAGAACAGAAGAACTGCTTAGCTTAAGCAGGCGACAATTGAGAGATATGGTTGGATTGTTGACAGGAAACACCTAAACACAATGAAGATAGCAGAAGACTCGCTGTGCAAAAGGTGTGCAGAGGAAGATGAAACACCTCTACATGTACTATGCCAATGTCCTAACCTTAGATGGCAAAGACAGCAGCACTTTGGGATACAGTATCCGAAACCAAAGGAAATCGCGAAAACGAATATCAGGGATATCCTAGGTTTTACTAAGGGCGTGATATGAAAACTTCAGGGTGGCACACTGGGCCACGAGCTCCAGTGTAGGTGGCCGCATACCCCAGGAGAGAATAGAATAGAATACTCAAACAGTTTAACAATACGAAAGCGAATCTTTAAAATATCTCAGTGAGCACATTCTACATATTTCCTACTCTACAGTGATTAAAAATTTAATTTATGATCCATGATATTGTTCTACTTCTAATCTCTTTATGTAACTCTAGTTGAAAGTAAAACGATCAGAAAGCAAGCGCAATGAGTCCAAAAAAACTTCTTAAGTCAGATTTCACAATATTAAAACAAAAACTGTAATTCACTTATCAGTTGTTTTGCAGATAAGACAACATAAAAGATGCATAAAATAAAACTAATCAAGAAATTCGATACCTGGTTTAATGTTGAGCTATCGTCTTATGAAATTTAATATAGGTTGTTATGAAAGGGGTTTGCAGATAACTAAAACTACTTTTCTGGAATCAATTTACCTTTGTTCAAACAATAACACAAAAATCACGATGAAACTAGCACTATAAGCTGGTTTCTACATGGGGAACTTGGGAAACTGATTTCGACGAAAAGAAGCTGGCAAGTTGTAATAGAATGGACTCAGTGTCTGGAATGTCGAGGCATGAGGAAAACAATTTAATTTTCATAACACAATAAGGATGCATCTGTGTATTTTATTTTTATTCTGTCCCTGCTAAAAAATATCTACAAAGACTGAATTCAACTTTTGAGATTTTCAAAATGTGTTGTATTAATGTGCCAAGCTATTTCGAATTATTTTCTTATGTTTCTGTTTTTATCAGTTTATTTTAAAATTACAAGAAAAAAAGCAAGCATTGTTAAGTTTATGGCGAGTCAGCGCAATTAAAATAGCAACAATTATTTCAGCGATTAACACAAACATTTAGATAAGAGTTTGTAAGAAGGCTTTATAATACCATTTTATCTATGACTAATATAATTGATTTCATTTAATTAGTCATAAAAATTTGATGAAAACGATTGATAACTGGTTGGTAAAAGAGGTACTGAACAGTTTTTTTACTAATAAATTGGGTGGGTACTTAATTACAAAAAACATTATCAAATTGTAAAAAAAAATATTACATTTCTAAAGCTCTAGTTTGATTTTAAATGTCTTCAATTTTGTGAGTTATTGAGCGAAAAATACCTTCAAAATGAGGTAGCAGAGAGGTGGTGGCCCTCTCCTCAAGGGTAGTAGACCTGTTAGCATGTTTTGCCGATATTCATTTCAAAAAAATTGCTGCTTAGGGCCATATTCTCCGTAGTTCATAAAGCCTGGCTTAGTGGAAGCACTTGGCTTTTTGTGTGACAAAGCCGAGCTTTTCCACTAAACCAGGCTTTATGAACTACGGAGAATATGGCCCTTAGTAGCAAATTAAATTATGTTAGTTGGATCATTTTACCTCGAAAACTCACTAATTTAACTACAACAACTTTTATGTGAAATTTAATTATTGAATTCTGAAAAAGTTGGCAAAAGAAATACTATGTCCAAACGGGTATAATATAGTTATGTATCAAATCATCTTACCTACTACTACTTAGTTTTTTATAAAATATGTCCCTAAACCCAACACTTTGGAAAAATAATTTCTCACCTTTACTCCACTCACTCACTACAACAGAAGCACTAATCAGCTGGTAAGTGCCGACTACCACACGCCTGGTCAAAGCGCAATAAGACGTATTGAATATAAACGGTGGTGGTAGCAGAGAGTTTGGCCAGGCTTTCAAGGTAGTGGGATTGTTTTATCCCAATGGGCCACCTTATCATAAATGGGCATTTCACGCTAATTATGACACAAGTTCGAACTGATTTAACTCGACCCCATAAAATTATAAACAATTAAGATTTTTGCTGTTGATAATAGTGACTTTGAATTTGTACCTAGGTATACTTGAGTAACTATAACAAATTGGTTAGCGTATTGGTATTTCTTAGCTATTTTTAATCTAACGTCCGGCAACTGTTCGGAAAGAATATACTTTCCGGTCGCTTTTGCTTTGGAAAAGTATCTCTTTTCGGGCCTAGAATGGAAAGTAATAAAACCATTCATATACATATGTTAATTATTAAAGTATAAATACATCCATTTTTCATCTCATGTGGTTGCCAAAAATATAGTGTACGTAATATGCCTGGAAAGTATTTTTTCAGTCTTGCAGTTTTCCTGGAATCTTGTATACTTATCGAAAAAACAGTACTTTCCAAACTTCTTACGTATTATCTCTTTTTCTGAAAACCTAAGAAATTTGGTGTGGTTAATAGGATTATGTATACTACCGTTTACTCATTATTAAAAGTTTCTAGATTTAGAGATATGCCTTCTATTTTTGAAATAATTTTGTTATTTTAACTTTTCTTAAAATTATACAGTTTACTGTTTCTAAGATGCCATGATGTGTGGATTGATTGTTTTAAATAAAACTCCCTCTTTATTTTTATTGTAATTAAGTCTCAACATCACTCGATTTGACTTGGTTTTTGAAATATCGCAACACGACATTGTACAAATGTATTAAACCGGTCTCGTATTTCAGGCTTCAGAAAAATGTGATAATGCGTATTCAAGATTTATAGGGGGGCTGGTAGGCCCAGGTTATTAAATATTGTACATTTTTCTATAGCCTGCTTGGAAATACGAGACAGTTTCTATACATCTCAACAAGAAAGCTGTGTTGCCATATTTCAAAAACCAAGTAAAATTGAGTTTTGGCATTTCGCGGTTTAGTAACATAATGTTGGCACGCTGAATTGAATACAAGTATTCCATTTAAAATAAGAAAGTTGGACCACAACCAGCTTTTCTGAAACACCCTGTAGGTATATTCAGAAGTGAGTCTTTAAAAAAAATTAGTTTCAAGTCTATGATTTCAACAATGAAACTTTCAAATAAAAAGGAAGAGGGGGTGACATTTATAACCAATAACCCTTCATGTACAGTCTGTCCCTTTTGGTTGTCCAAAAGGTATAATTCGGTTGCTATTGGAGTAAGAAGGATGCGGTTTCCACGAACGTTGGCTACTTTTCAGTCAAAGCCAGATGGCGCCAGCAGAATTGTCAGCGCTCTTTTTGTTTTTCAGAAACAAGGTGTTTTTGAAAATGTTACATTTTGGGAAACCCCTTGTATCTCGGTTATCTCATAAGTGATCGAAGAGGTGACAACGGTTTCTTATAGATATTTTTACGTAGCTTCCAGTGGTGTAGTCAGTTTTTCTCTAGAAGTGATATTTTTCAAATTATGAACCGAACATACGTTTTTTCAAATGAGACACCCTATATACTAAAATCTTATTGTATAGCTCTGCTTTTGCTGATTTCAATGATATAAAATTCGATTGGTTTATCTTTAGCAGTTTTCGAGCAAAAATTTTTTTTCTGTTTTTGTCATAAGAAACAATGTGTTAGAAAGAGATCTTTCTCAATATTTCTCATTTTCCTTACAGATGCACAGTCCTTTTTTGATACATTCTTTCTTATGACAAAAACAGACATAATCAGTGGCGCACTTAGAAAATATGTTTGGGGGCCCTACATAAGTTGTGGCTTGTGACTAAAAATAAAAAAATAAAAAATTTGGTGTCAGGGTGCCACGCCTTGATGTTGCTACATTTCATACACGTAAAAATACAGTTTTTAAGGGGTGGACTGTGGGGGAGGCCTGGCCCAATGGCCCCCCCCTGGGTGCGCCACTGGAGATGTTACAGATAAACTCATCGAAGTTTATATCATTGAAATCAGCAAAAACAAAGCTATCCAATGAGCTATTAATATACAGGGTGGCTCATTTGAAAAAACATATGTTTGGTTTATAATTTAAAAACTATCACTTCTAGAGAAAAACTGACTACGCCACTGGAAGCTACGTAAAAATATCTATAAAAAACCGTTGTCACCTTTACGATCACCTATGAGGGAACCGAGATACAAAGAGTGTCCCAAAATGTAACTTTTTCAAAAACACCTTGTATCTGGAAAACAAAAAGAACGATGACAATTCTGTTGGCGCCATCTTTCGTTTGACAAAAAAGTAGCCAACGTTAGCGGAAAAGGCATCCTTCTAACTCCAATAGCAATCGAGTTATCCCTCATGGACAACCAAAATGGAACACACTGTACATACAAGGGTCTTTCCCCATATATTGATCCCCCCTCTACAGGGGTTATGTGAAGAAATATAAAAAAATTGTGAATACAAAAGTTTTGGGGTTTTACCTAAAATTTTTGAATCCAATGTCAATTTTTGACAGATGGACAGTTTTTTCTTATGGAAAATCCTACATATGACTTCATACTTGAAAAGAGTCGAATTTTCTGATTTCAAATATATATGGTTCAACTACTTTTATTCAAACCGTTTTGGAAATATCGGGCTCTAAACTTCAAGAAAATAATACATTGAAAACCTTGGTAGGCGATGCATTGTTGTTGTTTGCCATTTTTGACACCAAAATTGTCGTTTCTGATTGGTCAAAATTGACAGGAGGAAAATACTCTCTAATAAATGTCAAATAATAACAATAATGCACCACCTACCAAGGTTTTTCAATGTATTATTTTTTTGAAGATTAGAGACCGATATTTCCAAAACGGCTTGATTGAAAGAAGTTTAACCATATCTATTTGAAATCAGAAAATTCGACTCTTTTCAACTATAAAATCATATATCGGGTGTTCCATAAGAAAAAACTGACCATCTGTCAAAATTTGACATTTCTAAAAACAAAAAAAGTTTTTGACATCAATTTCAAAAATTTCAGGTAAAACCCCAAAAATTTTGTTTTTACAGTTTTTTGATATATTTCCACATAACCCCTGTAGTAGAGGAGTCAATATATGGGGAAAGACCCTATACAAGTCCCTCGATTTTAATCTGATACTCCAAAGGAATGTGAGTTGGTGGCTCTCTACGTTAGAACGCCAATGGTCACCTGACGTCACACACCTGTTTTTGACATATGCTTCACCCCCTCGGATCGCGTCTCATACGGAAAGTGTCAGATAAAAAACGATGTATAATACATTTTTCTGGAGCACATTCTGAATTATTAAGCCGTTTCCATACATAACGACGACCCTGTATATCTTCTCATGTATTTTTTTTTTGATAGCTGTTTTGGATTTCATGAACGAAAAAAGGACCCATAATATTTGTATCAATATTAGAAACGTCAATTTCTGAGCTGGGATAGAAATAAAGGAATCCGTTACACTGAGTGTTTCTCGTCCAGTCATTTTGAACCAATCATGTATTTCAACATCAAAAATTGTTTTCAAGTGGGAAAATTAATTATTAGAAATACGGGGTACAGCAATTTCTTGCTCACCAAAATGCCGTTTCGAGAACTAAATAAAAAATCCAGAGCCGTATTTAAAAAAATTAAGTTGATGGTGGGTGGCCCAAAGACGAAACGTCGGATTTCAAATTTGATAATGCCATATTGTAGAGGAGAAAAAGAGGCAGTTTGGTGAGCAAGAGATTTCGTAACTTTGTTCCAATTTAACCTGCCCTGCATATCTTATACTGAGATCCCCATACTTACTCGCGAATTTTTAACACCCTGTATATATTATTAGTTCATCGAAAAGCTCTGTGCTGATTTTAATAATGTAAGATTTGATCTTCAGCATCTTCAGCTCAACCCCATAAATATACTTCTGGACAAAATTATCGCACCACCTCTTATGGTGATTTTTATGTGCAGTGGTGCGATAATTTTGTCCAGGAGTATATAACTATAAGCTATAGGGTGTCCCATTAAAAAAAAATCGGACTTTCGCCAATATTTGGAAATTGGTGGGGTTAACTTGAAAAAAACTGAGCACGTCACTGAATTTTGCTCCAAAAAGTGCTTCCAGGAAATTTTCCCAGAAATAAACTATTTTCATATACAAAAAAGTAATTAAACTTTCATAGTATTACTCAAAATCCAAAAACGCCCTCTAGTGACAAACCGGCTGAAGATTTCAACATGTGGTTTGCATGATTGAAGTTTTCATAAAGAAAGGTTTAAAATAAGACACAGCATTTTTTCAACTATTTAAAATAATGGTTGATGGGGTAGCAGCCGAAAACAATCATAAAATTCACACTAAAATACAGGGTGAGCCCGAAATAAGTGCGCATTTTGTTATGATAAATAGAGTACAGTATCACTTTTTGCATGGGTAAATGTGTCCGCAAACTTATCGTTTAGAAAATACAGAGTGTTAAAATTTTCGGACACACCTTAAGATTAAAAATGCTTTGAGCGATTTTGTTCAAATTTTCAGAAAGTGTTTGCGATGTTCTCAAGCATCTTTCTGAAAAATCCGTTTGAGTTTCACTTTTCCTGGACCGGACCTAGAGTGACTCTTATTTTTTTTTAAGAAAAGAGTGGTATGCCCTTGGGATTTTTGACAAATTAAATAAATTTTTTTTGATTCCTAGTTTAACTTTGAACAAAAAGGTATTCGGAGTTTTTCTTGTTCGATGCGACGTTTACGAGATAAAAAATAAAAATCAATGTATTGTTTATTGGAAAATATTGTTGTTTGATAAACTCCATTCTGTTAAAAAAAAAATAAGATTCATTCTACGTCCGACCCTGGGAAAGTGAAACCCAAACGGATTTTTTAGAAAGATGCTTATGAACATCCTACAAACACTCTCTGAAAATTTGAACAAAATCGCTCAAGGCATTTTGAATCTGAAGGCAAAAAGTCTAAATTTTCCGAAAATTTCACCAGTCTGTATTTTCTTAACGAGACACATGGTCCTATGCAAAAAGTTATTATCCTACTGTATTCTATCTATCATAACAAAATGCACACTTATTTTGGACTCACCCTGTATATTTTCCTGGAACCTGTTATAGTGTTTTTGCCACATTGATTCGAAACAAAGTTTGATATACTTGTTCGACTTAGGATTCAACCTGCTACAAAGTCTAAAACTTAAGTGTATATTCCAAAAATTGGCAGCTCGCTGATAAATAGGTATATAGTTATACCAGTATGAAGTAATCTCACCTTCCACTTCTTCTGATGCAACTCCAACCAAAGACACTTCAAATAACTGTTGCTCACATTCACTTGACTCAATCTCTACAGTACTAATGCACTAATGCACCAATAAGCTTTTAGGTGTCGAACACTACGCGTCTGTGCAAAGTACAACTAGGCAGGTGTTTGTACCCATTAGGCGCGCTTTTCTTTATAACTTACCTATACAACTTTCTTATCAAAATTCCTAATAATTATTTGATAAGCAATCAATTTTATTTGTGCCGTTCTTTATTATTCTTCTATGATAATATAATAATATTTGGAACAAAAGATGATTAAAAATTATAATTAATCCAATAATACTAATGAAATGAAAAAAGATGCAACATTGGCTTCACATGATGAACAACACATTTCCAAGTTTTCCATGAATCCATTACTTTTATTTAAAAAAATCATGCTATTGCTGAATTTCTCTTTTTCATTTTTAGGTTTTGTGCACAAAGGTGTCCCCCTCCCCACACCTCCTCAAGACGTTTTAGACCTGGCTTCTAAATCAACTGAGCACGTTTACCTGGTATTATTTTTTGACGCCAAAAGAACTTGGCAGTGGCTTCCTGCAGATAAACTCGAATTAATGGGGATTGATATTGAAAACGATGAAGCTAAGGTGAAGAATTGAAAAAATAATAATTTGCATAATATTTAATGGTATTTATTTTGTAGGCTAATGAACCTCGTAAACAATCAAACAGGAAAGCGGTAAAGAAAGCGTATGAAAATGCTCTAAACTATATTCAGCAGATAAGTGATGCTTCAAAAGAGTCGGATAAACGTCAAGAAGTGCAACAATCAAAAAAGTAATTTTTCAATAGTTTTTGTTTTTTTTTTATATATTTTTTTATATACAATTTCACTTTTTGTAGAAAAATGTTAACCAGTTACATAAGGAGTTAATGGTCAATACTGGTACTTTAATTGTAAATGATTTTTCGTTATTTGAAAAAAGCTATCCATTTACTAACAAAAATACTTTATTCACAGTGAAATTATGTATAAAATCTTGCTATTTGTACGTTATAAAAGCTCAACTGCACTCATTCTTTATTGTCCAGGTTGATAAAGCCCCAAATTATCTTTTTACCTATTGATAAGCAATTATCAAGTTTCAGTTGTTATAAAATGTTAACTTACTTGAATGAATCTTTGACAGGTTTACGGAAAGGGTAATCTTGAATTAAATTGGCTGAAAACCCAATTCAAGGGGGCGATTCTTATCATCTCTGAATTGATAAATTATGTATATTTAGTGAAAATATTGAAAATATATTTTTATTTTGTAAAATTTTCTTGTTAATGTTCCAAAATTGTTACTCTGTTTGGCTTGCCCGCCCCGAGTAGACTAAAAAGTCTTGGAAAATTTTCTAAAAATAAAGCTTTGTGTTATTATATTGATATTTCGATTGTTACGTTAAACTAGCATTTTTATTTCGGGTTCTCTCTTGTCTCTTGAACAGCTCTTTTGTATTCATTTTTGTTAAAAGCTGAATTATTTATTTCACATTTATACCTATTCATCCTTCAAACCTTTATATTAAGCATGCTGGTAAAGTAGCTGGCATTGCAGCTCTATCTATATTCAAAATTTTTGATAAAATGTACCAAGGGCAGCTCAGTATCGGACTAGACCCATTAAATTTCGACCCAAAATTACTTTTTCAGCTACACACACACATTGGGCCCCTTTTTAAGGTAAATGAAGCTGTTTTTAATAATTTCAATTCAATTCCGAATTACGCTTAATTCAGCCAATTTTTATTCAATTTCAAATCAAACTTAATCCAATCATTTTTTCCGTAAACTATTATAGTAAACTAATGACACTAGATGTCTGTGTAAAGTTTAATATGTTTACATCAAAATTCTATGTATGTATATGTTTCAGATTTAATAATAAAAATATAAAAAAAAAGTTTAAATAAAATCCCTCTCATAACTACTTGCTTATCTTAGATTTAGCCTGAGATTTTATTTTATGTCCCGCTTTGGTATGATGCTGCCTCTTCTTTTTGATGTTCCTATGTTTACCTTGCCTGAACCAAGGATCATATCCGAAACTAGGAGACAGATCAGGTTCCATCAGCTCGTAATTATTGATTTGGTAAACGTCAGAAGGTCTACTGTTAGTATTTCCTGGTACGTAAATTATTTCAATAGGAGTATCTTCACCTGCGACATAGTTATCGTCAGATTCTTCAGACTCTGATGAAGATTCCGGAGTATCGGGATATTCTGCAACTCCATTATTGTCTGAGCAAATGACATAACAACCATCTAGTCTAGCTTTTTCTTTGAGTGCTTTATTATGTTTAAAAATATGAGATTTGCCTTGTCGTTTTAATAAGACAGTTTCTTTTCTAGCTGTGTTTGTATGCTTACGTTTCTGGTGGGTTTTTTTAGAATGTTCTAGAACAAAACTTATATATATATATAGCTTATAAAAGTTTTCAAAAATTTACTATTTTTCATTTGTTTGTGCTTCTGATTTCTTTCTGAAGTTTCTTCCTCAGTACTTTCTTCCTCACTGCTACTTTCAGTTGTGGTTTTTGCCTTTGATGTTGTGGATCTTGGTGTTGTTGAAGTAGTTGTCGTAGTGCTGCCGCAAGTGAAATTTTTTATAAAGTTCGATGGAAGCGGCAAGGGCTGTTGTCCTGGACAAATTAGGTCGCATTTTTGTGGAGCATTTCTCGAGTTATGATGCAGCTTTGGGTTTTCTAAATTTAATTGTTTATCAAAAGGTTTAATAATTAGAGTTAGTTACCTGAAGCAATTGCAGTAATTAATGTCAAACAGTTGCACAGAATTAAAAATTCCATTAAATTGCCCATGTTAAGAGAAAATTGGATATGAAATGACACGTATCAATTTTTGAATTGTACTATTAGTATAACAATTGCAACTAATATCGGTAAAATTTGCATTAGGTGACCTCAAGAAAGCCTTTCCAAATACATATTATTAAAATGTGCATATTTGTGTAAGGAAAATGATAAATACTAAATTCCTACTGAATGTCAAATCGAATATAATCAGTTAACGGGCGCACTAGAAAATAAAATAATAATTCTACAAAACTTAAAAAAGTGGCTCCAACAAACAAGGCTGCAGAACTTCCTATTGAAACTAGAAAAAAACAATTAATGGTTTTATTTAGTTTGAGTGAACTTCAAACCTCACCAGTAACATCTAGTACCCCCTTAACTACGGTTCTCTTAAATCTTTCCGATGGTAATTTTCCTAGTGACAGCTCCAACACGCTGTAGTCTTCATTCAACCTAGAATAGTTAGTTTTGTATAAAATAAAAAATTAAATAAATAGAATTTCAACCCAAATCTATTCTCAGTAACTACATTAATTTGAATTTCATTGCAGCTTGGCAGACAATCACATTCCAAGCCAATTTTACTGGAACCTTTAGGTTTTTGCACCATTAGCTCTTGGAAATAGATTTTGAGGCATTCTAAACCCTGGTAGCTGCATTGGGTTTTGATAGCTACAAAAAAATGCTTAAATGGAGTTTTTTCGATAAGGCTCTATTACATGTGTTTGGCATAAGATGATGTGCACAAGTGCATTTTTCCAATTGTGCATTTTTACAGCATTGCGTCAAACAAGCGCTGTAGCTATAGTAAGGGAAAACATCTAAATAGTTTTCCTCGGGAAAGCGGCATTTTCTTTGGTCAATACTTAAATCTCGAACCTAAAAATATTGCAATTATTTAAATACATGATTTTCAAACTTTACCAATGAATACTTCTGGTTGGTTCACTATATCTTTAATGTTAAATAGTTTTTCTTTGCGTATATGCGGTGAGAGGTGGATAAAATCTTTTATAGAGAATATCGCGGATGGTACTTCCAATGAGCTCATTGTGTAGACCTAAAACTAGAGGATGTACATTAAAAATATTTAGAATCTCTAAGGCTTACATTGTTTTCTCCGTTCAATTCTAATACAAGTTTGCCAGGACCTAGTACTTTGTTAGATATCATTGGGAAGTTTGGAGCTTTTATTCTACAAAAAGATAAATGAATACATAATACCTAGTCACCTACTCTATTATGGGCTATTTTGTACTCAATGCTGCATCCTGCTTATTTGAATCAACTTTGGTTGTTTTTGATTCCAAAGAAAAATTAGCTTTTCCAGCCACTGTGTTTAACTTTACTGAGTTGTAATAGAAATAACCTACTTGTTCTAGAATTTAACGCAACTTTTGGAGATAAGTCAAGATTCATACTTCTAGTTTTCTTGAGGCCTTCCTAATATAACACCTTAAGGATGTTTCCCTTCAATAACAGTTGCAATTTTAATGTGATGAAACATGTCCAAATTAAAATTCTTATTTTTTAAACATTTCAACCCATTTTACAAAAATTCTAATACCTCGTCTGTAGAGAATTAAGACCATAACAAACACCAATATCTGTACTAATTGGCATGAAAAACTGGCAACAGTCAAAGTTCTGCTTGTTCCATATACATTTTCGAAATATTTCTGTACAGCTACTTCTTGCCTAGAAAAACCATACTAATTCTACCTTCAAAAAAAGTCAAATTTCAATTTGAGTATTTACCTCAAACGCAGTTTGCGAAAAATTAATTTTCCGACACATTTCGTTATAGTTTTTCACATTGGGGCCGCACATTTGTAATGTGAAAAAATGCTCCTCTGAATAATAAGCCACTTCTTTAATAATTTCATCTAGATTATAATCGTGAGACTCTCCAAAAATTCTAAAAATATATCTTTTTGTAAGCTGAGTGAATTTACCAGTAGGTATCGTACTAGTATATTCATTAACTAGATTAATATCACATACTGATCAGAAACCTTAGCGATTTTATCATCATTATTCGTCTCGCAAACGTATATAGCTGGAAATTCAGTATCCCAATCAATGTAGCTAGTCTCGACAACAAAACTAATGGCGTTATTCTGAAATGAGTCCCAAGTAGTACTGATTACTTTAGCACACATCCACCAGCAGATGGAACAGCAAATAATCCAGAACATCCTTTCAGTCCAGTGCCGATTTGGCTCTGCCATATACCTGAATCCATGTAATGATGTATTGAGAATATACCTTCGTAGGAGGGATTGATTTTCACCTTCCATCGCTTTGACGAATACTGATTTCCAAAGTTTAATACTAAACATAATGGGAATTTCGTTAATAATTAATCAGAATGTGTAACAATAGAAATGTATTGTTTGTGGGCATTGGGCAATACAAAAGAAATAATGGCATCACTAAAATCTATTTCATTTGTTGGGTAGTAAAAAACTGATAAAATTATTGCGAAATTAAAAAAGTCTTTAAAATTAGATTAGGTCCCATAATTTGTGATAAATTCAGAGCTGATATCTTTAATTTTTTTGGCAATTGATGATTAAATGCTTTTCCTGTAAAAAACTGGTATGTCATCACTGGGATAAGCATATTTTGAACACGCTTTATATTTTTCACGTTGTCGATAGTTTTCAAGGAAAACAAATGCAAATTTCTATAGATTACACTGAAATGTAAAAATATGTTATTCAAAAAATGTCCACTTTTACCATTCCACATAGTTTTCATGAAAAAAATATGTTTTTGGAATTCTTTGTTGGCCTATATAAGCCCACCCTGGACATTTGTGGTAGTTGTGCCATCGATAGCTAGCAAGAATCATTGTTAGCTAGAATAAGTGAAAATGGGGTTTAAGATTTCCATTTTTAGTATTTTGGTGCTCGTTGCTATCTCTGGTAAGTATATTCAACCAATTTGTGTTTATATTTTTTTACAAGTTTTGATTTTCTTTAGATGCCACACACCATAAAGCCTTAAAAGCGCGATCTTCAAGTGGAATTTGTAAAATATCATGTAAGTATTTCTTATTCAAAAACTAGATTAGGTATTTCTAAAAATTTCTATAATATTTGCTAGGCCACAGCGTAAATCCTGGGACCGTTACACCTCCTGGTCCGGTAACTGTTTCTCCTGGAATAACTACTAATCCTCCTAAAACAAGTTGCTCAGGAGAACCAGGAACAGCAGCTCCTCCAACCAAACCAGGTGGTTCTCCAGCTACAACTCCTCCTAGTAATCCAGGCGGTCCTCCAGCAACAACCCCTCCAAATAATCCAGGCGGTCCTCCAGCAACAACTCCTCCAACTAATCCAGGTGGCCCTCCAGCCACAACACCTCCAACTAATCCAGGCGGTCCTCCAGCAACAACCCCTCCAACTATTCCAGGCGGTCCTCCAGCAACAACTCCTCCAACTAATCCAGGTGGCCCTCCAGCCACAACACCTCCAACTAATCCAGGCGGTCCTCCAGCAACAACCCCTCCAACTATTCCAGGCGGACCACCAGCAACAGCTCCTCCAACTAATCATCCAACTAATCATCCAACAACAGAACCAGGCTCTTCACCTACTACAGTTGCACCTTGTAAGTATTTTTTTCTTCAATTTTCGATGATAATAAACTTTATAATTTTTAGCCCAGGCCTGTCCCTGTTATTGCACAGCGAACGGAATAACATACAAAGGAGGACCAAGCAGTAGTAGCAGATCTCACCACGGAGGTCAGCATATTCATAGCAAACATGCTCACCATCTCAAAGAACATGAAAAACATGCTCATCAAAACAGAGAACATCACCAAGTGAACGCGCATCATCAAAATAGAGAACACAATCACAATCAAGAACACCATCAGAACAGAGAGCATCACCATAATAAGGAACATCATGAGAATAGAGAGCATCATCACAATAAAGAACATAACGAGAACAGGGCGCATCAGGAAAATAGAGAACACCACCAAAAGATGGCACACCACGATAGACATCATGCTGCCCACGAGAACAGGCAGCACAAAGAAAATCACCAGTAAATAACTGTGATATAATTTAGGACGGACTTCTTTAAAAATACTACTGACCAAATAGCAATGATCCTTTGACGTGATTCTCCCTATCTAGTTTAAATAGTTACCTACTACAAGTGCATACCATTTTATTTTTTGTATCATATTTTTTTTGGGAATAAAATAATTTTAAATGTTTTTTTTTTTAAATTTTTTCAATTGATCAAAAGAATAATTTACCTATGTGGGGATTTTTTGTCACTTACCTCTATCGGGTGCGTCCCTATGGGAATTAGGGGAAGCTTGCTGGGTCTGTAATCCAACAGATTCAGAGGGTAGTGGAAAAATAAAATACCCACCGTGAAACAAAAACTCACCCAGTCCTCCAGGATGGGAGTTGAGGCATTAGACTGGTTCTCTAATACTCGGAAAATTATAAAACTATCAAAAAACCTCAGAACATTGGACAGATCACCAACACGACGAACGCGGCAAAGAAAATGGACTATGAATTTCGCTATGTGGAATGTACGGGGTATTATACTGAAAACGGTTTTTATTGCATCAGAAATTCAGAAACTGAATATCGATTTAGTAGCATTAACCGAAACCAAGAAAAAAGGAAAGGCACTGAAAATGTTGGAGAATTTGTTCACCCTTTTATTGGAGTGTCAAAGGAAATGAGAGCAGCTAAAATCTGTTTTTTTTTTAAAGATAAAAGTCAAAATGACATTATGTTGGCAATACAATGTAAAATTGTCAATGCTTTCAAATTTTTTATGTAGAAAAGGCTTGTGTTGCCAACAAAGTTACTAAATTTTTGACTTGGGGAATTATCTTTAAAAAAAAACAGACTTTAGAGGGGTATCCATAATGATGAGGAAAAACTGGAAAAATAAAATTAATAACTTGGAAGCTGTAGATAAAAATATCCTAAGGGTTAACTTAAAACTACATGGCTATAAAATCACCATTATAGCAACTAGTATAATGATAGGGGATTTCAATGGAAGAACGGGAAGGACGAACAATAGTCCAATTGTTGGACCATTTGGAGAAGAAATAATCAATAATAATGGCCAAAGGCTCATACATCTCTGTGAGACCCACAATCTTAGAATAAACAATGGATTTTTCAAACACAAAGATATTCACCGCTATACATGGATACAGAATAGCCGTAACTTGACGTAAGAGTCCTAAGAGGAATAACTTACAGGTCAAGTAAGAGCCAAAATAAAGTTGCAATTTAGGAAATTGAACAAGAACCCAGAGGAACAAAACACCAATACTAACAGATACGGCAAAATACAATTTTGACAGTTTTAGAGATGAAAGCACTGTATTTCTATAACAAAGGCGACTCGACAGCAAACTTGAACCCTGAAAAAGGTTCCTTCAATAAACTATATGAGGAGTCTAATAGAAGCCACCCAAGGAGCAATTGGACGAAGGAAAAAAATACCAACAAGAAATACTGGTGGAATGAGAAGATAGAGCTATTAGTACAAGAGAAGAAGCAAAAATATCTGAAATGGCTAACAACAAAAAATGGACAAGACCTTGAAGTTTATAAAGACACAAAAAGACTAAGAACGTGCATCACTATAGCTAAGAACGTGTCATGGGATAAGAAATGTGAAGAAATTACCACGTGCATAGGAGAAGGAGGAAGGAAATGCTCAGAGGTATGGAGATTTATATCAAATGTCAAAAACACAGCAAGGGACAGAGCTAATATCCAGATTATTAAACCAGAGCCATGAATGGAACACTACAAGGGAGTAGGTCTCACATGTATTATTAATAAATGTCTAATTTGACATCCTGTTCCACAAGACTGGAAAACGGCTTTTGTATCATCGATAATCTGTGTCATCGATTCACAAAAAATAAAATAAGCTGGACTGCATTAACTATCGGGGCATATCAGTCACAAGCACACTAAGCAGACTATACGGTAGAATTCTGCGTGATCTCAATGAAGAAGATTACAGACAGAAAGAAGAAGGATAGCAATGCGGCTTTAGAGCAGGAAGATCGGGTACAGACAACGTAGTTTGCCTAAAACAAGTAAAAGCCTAAATGGAATATTATGCAGCAAGGAAATAACAAAGACGAGAAAATTCAATACCTATATACGAGACAATGATAAAGAGCAGCTATATGAAGCTGAGACTTGGAGAATTACAGACCGGCAAAAGAAAAAAGTGGAAGCAGTTGAAATGGATGCTATTAGAAGATCCATGCGAATCTCACGAAGAGAGAGAATAAGGAACAACAATATAAAACAACAAATGGAAATAGAAGGCATGATAGTTCAGGACATTGAAAGGAAAAAACTTACCTGGTACGGACACATAGAACGAATGCCAAATACCAGGTGGCCCAGAAAAATGCTGCATTGCCAACCAACAGGTAGAAAAAAACGAGGAAGACCAAAACTGGAATGGCAGAAGACCATACAGGTCCCTGAGTGGAAGGAATCTCTCATCAGAGGATTGCAACAATAGAAGATATAGTATATAAGAATAATTTAACAAAGGCAAACTAAAACGTATTCAAAACTTTTATTGAAGTTAAAAAAAATATAGCAAGCATTATCACAATAATTAAAATAAAATTAAAAACACTAAAAATTGCTAAGAAGTCTTCAAAAACCCCATTAAATTTTTCTGTGTGGCCACTGTACGTTGCTGCTTGCTTTTCTGTCCTTTTTCTGGAATTTTTCGTTGCGCTACATTAATTTCCAAATGCAACTTTCTGGCAGCATGATAATCGAAATGAATTTTTTGTTCACTTACTGGAATCTGTTTATTGCATTCATTACAGATATCCGTCAATGATTCCTGATTTTTATTTTTGGTACAATTTTTAAAATATTCCCCTATAGGTTTATGGTTACCTGAAGCTTCTTTTTTCCTTTTTTTCGTTACAGTTTTAGTATTTGTAGGCGGAGAAGTGGTTTTTTTAGGCTCGGGTTTATTTTTGTACAAATGAGCTTCATCTTTAACAATACTAATAGCAAAATGATAATCCAAATGTGACTGGTATTCAAAATCTTTCACTATTTTGCTGCATTGAGGACATTTCATGCCACAATTAGTTTCTTCATTAGTCAAAACCATTTCTTTATCATGATAATCTTCAATATTAATATTACCCTGATGAGCTTTGTCCTTATTAACACCAATAGCAAAATGATATTCTAAATGTGACTGATATTCAGTATTTTTCAAAATTTTTCCACATTGAGGACATTTAATGCCTTTATTAAGATCACTATTTTCTATTTCTTCATTACTTAAATCCATAATTTGTTGATCATCTTCAAAATTATTATCATCATTGTTATTACCTAAAGCTTTAGAAGTATTGAAGTTCCTATTTGAGTTTCCGCTAAAATATTTACTGAAAAATGATTGTGCTGCTGGAACTTTTGGAGATTGTAAATCTGGTAAGACACCACCAATGTCGCCAGAAATTGAGTCATCTGATGAACTCTCAACTTCAAAGTTTTGATCCGAAATTGAGTCAGGATGCATTTGTTCATAGAAAATTAAATTATTATCATCAATATCACTCTCCAAGGTTGTATTCGAATATATTGATTCTTTGCTTGAATTTTTTTTATCGAGGGTTTCACTAGTATTTTTCTTTACTCTATTTTCCATATTTTTAAAAAACGATGTAATTTCATTCACCTTTTTATGATCTTGAAAATTCCCAGCACTAATACCCAGAAAAGTAACTTTATAAGATCCATTGTCTTTCATGCAATTTTTCTGAATTATCTTAAAAGCGTTTTCAAATATTTTATGTTTCTCATATGAATTTAATGGATGAGTTTTGCTGCTACTTATTTCGTCTTGTGCAAAGCTTACAACCATTTGTTTCGCTTTCCGATTATTTTCTTCAAAATCTTTTTCCAATCTTTCAAAGATTTCATCGGCCATCTCATCAAGCCAATGTTCGATATCTTCTTTGGTACACAAAGCAGTTTTTCCAGGAAAATTTTTAGAACAACCAATTGATTTTGCTATAAGTCTTGTGTTTACTGGTTCACTATCAATTCCTCTTGCAATTTGATATAAAAAACTGGCAGACTTTTCATCAAAATGTTTTGCCAATTCTCTTTGAGTAAACTTTGAAAGTTCTCCCATAAATTCAATATTAAGTTTCTCAACAACGTTGTTGCCAAATTTGCCTCCTAAACCAGTAATTTTCTTTATGCGTAAATTTTGATATAATTCAGGTACAGCCTCTTGAGGTAAAATTGTTTGTTTATTCGGCTTGTGCAGGCCGCATACTAACTTAGCAAGGATTTTATTATGTGCAATCCCTGCAGAACACCTATAGCCAGTGATTTTGAAAACTTCAGCTCGAATTTCTTCACAAATTACACCTCCTAGGGCCAACTTGAGATTCGTTTCATCAAATGCTTTATTCTGAGTAACATTTTCCACAAAATCCTCTATGGAACTGCCAACAATATATGTATTTGGTAGACTGTCTACGTTTATTTGGTCATTTTGGTCTTGAATTCTTTTTTCAACAAGATCGGTTATGTCCAGGTAAGCTTCATCTACAGAAGCTCTTTCTAATAATGGAGTGAATGATTGTAGGACTGCGGCTACTCTTTTTCCTGCATCCCGGTACCTGAAATAATTTAAATATTGTTGAATGTAAAAAGTAATATTTACAGAGTAATCAGAGACAGCAAGCCAAAGTCAAGAAAAAATTAAAAGCCGAGAAGGAGGAGGTCAGAAGCATTCGAGGAAGCACCTCAATCAGATCATTATTACATATAGGTACCCCTTATTTTTCAGTAGAGAAAAACTACCTCAGACAAACTCTCTACTCTAAATTAAGAGAGGCATATGTTATATTTTAGGAGTAGGAGACAAATTTTTGCCCCTTGTACAAAATACTTTTTCTACACTTATGGTTTCTTTACTTTCTCTTAGCTTAGACTTGTTTTCAGCTTTACATGCGATGCGATTGATGCCTATCTAGTTATGTAATAGAAAATATAGATAACTGTCTAGGAGATAAATTTTAGCTCTATGAGTTGCTAGAAACGAAAAGATTCCTTTTTCAGCCCATGGGTTTTGTGTTGTGGGACTGGATTATTGTCTCTGGGATGTTTTTGTTTTGGTGAATCCGATCAACTTACTTCGACAAATCAGCTTTTCCTCTCACTTGAGGCACTTTGGCCAAAATAATTTCAGGACATTTTTCTTTAGCGTCATTGCCTCTCATATGCCTCGTCACCCCACGTTCTCTAGCTGGGTAATTTACAGCAATTATTCTACAAAAATGGACATTTCAAGTTGATATATTTTTAATTTTCGAATTTGTATTGGTGTTTTTACCCTCCTCCTCTCCATTGATTGTATTGCACCACAGCCAAAGGTTTTCCTTTTAAATTCGGATCCAAATTCTCTTCTACTTGACAATAAAAACAATCCATATCGATTAAAAGGACAATTCGATTTGTGTAACTCATTTTGATTTAATACTTAGCTAGATAGATAAAATAATAATTTGAACAAAACTAATTAAAACGAAACAAAAATTGAAAAATTAAAAATTAAGAAAGAAACAAATGTAAACAAAAGTATGATTTTGAATTTCAGACTCAGTGTTGCCAACGGGAAGTTATCAAAATGCTCCTCATTTCTAGTGAAAACGCTCACATTATGCTCACATGTACTAAAAATAACGTCAATGTACGAATGTCAATAGTTTTCGAGTTTTCCAGCAAAGTTTTTTTTTTTTTAAAGATAAAAGTCAAAATGACATTATGTTGGCAATACAATGTAAAATTGTTAATGCTTTCAAATTTTTTATGTAGAAAAAGCTTGTATTGCCAACAACATAGTTATTTTACTAAATTTTTGACTTGGGGAATTATCTTTATAAAAAACAAACTTTATTTAATACATTTGACATTTGACTACGGGATCACCAGGCTGAAGTACCATCGTCACCAAAAGTAACTGGGACAGCATCACATTAGCTCTTGTCCTATTGTATGAATTTTATTGTCAAATATTTGTCAAACTATGAATTGACCTTTTGTTTGGACGCCATATTGCGGTGCGCGAACATAGTTGCCAACAGTAGAAAAAAAAATTATTAGCGTTCTGTCAACTTTAAAATCCAAAGTTAATGAATAAATTACATTTAAAATTTAAATTTACCGCCTATTACGAATGTTTTTGGAAAGAAAAACCATTAATTTTAACTTGTATTGAGCAGAATAGAAATAATAAAATAGGGACATAAAGCTTCCGTATTTTTTGCTCGGTATCCGTATCGGTATCGTACTGCGCATGTGCAGAAGCGATACGGAGGCCGAGATACCGTACGTACAACGTAACGTTACGGCCCTCTCGCGGTATCCGTATCGGTAACGTATCTTGACATTCCTGACACATGTGTCAAATTTTAAATGAATATAACCTCACTTTTCTTCCGGGTTGATTTAATTTGTTTAGTTTATACTTTCTTGAATTTCTTGTGTGTTTAGTGCTTCTCTATCGCAAAAAAAAGAACAATTTTAAGGTTAGATATAAAAACGCCGGAGTTTTGAGACAAAAATTTCTAGATTATGAGATGCGTTTACGTTTACCGGAACAGGGAGCGCTTTAACAGCTTTTTCGCTAGTCAACGTATCTAGTTGCGTTACGGATACCGATACCGATACCGGCGAATTATTTCAAGTAGCTTTATGTCCCTATTATCTAATTGACAGCCCGCTAGTAATTTTTGGTTTTCTTGTTTTGGCAACTATGTTCGCGCACCGCAATATGGCGTCGAAACAAAAGGTCAAATGCATTGAAATGAATGACAGTAGAATTAGTCCAGGAGATTATTATGCATTATTTGTGTCCCAGATACTTTTGGTGACAATGGTACCATCGTCACCAAAAGTAACTGGGACAGCATCATATTATTAGCTCTTGTACTATTATATGCAATGAACTATATTATATGATTTTAGATGTCAGGTATTTGTCAAACTATGAATAATTTCAGATTTATCTAGGTTAACTTGGAATAGTCCAGGAGATTAATATCAATTATTTTTGTCTCAGTTACTTTTGGTGACGATGGTACATTGTCTTTTTTCTAATTTTGACATTTAAAGTGACACTTTTCAAAACTCGTTGACGTTATCAAATGCCTTACTTTTCATCACCCAGTACGAAAAGTAAAATTTTTCGCAACTGGTGATCAAAAGTAAATTTGACCATTAGTTGCAAAAAATCCAGGAACAAAATCTGTGATACTTTTGGGGCTGAACTACTTGGAGTACTTTGTTGTTATTATATTCTTTGTACGTACATATTATGAAGATTTAATTTTATCCAAATTCGTTCTATAATATGACAATGTATGGAAAAAAACTAGTTAGTTAAAAATATTAATACTTAACACAATTTGAACAATTATTGATGATATTGTCAACTAGCTGCTTGGGAAAGGAGGACCCGGTATTCAACCTTATTAATTTAATTGCCGATTCGATCGAATATTTATTGCAATTCAGCAATAAATTAATATAAATTGCGATGCAAGCCGCAGCAAAGGCAGACTTAAACCAGTGCAAGTACCTCTCGTTGGAAAAGCCCCTCTGGAATTAAGTCTCCCCAGTGCAAGTACCTCTCGTTGGGAACGCCCCTCTGGGTATCTTCAGCCTTATCGTTGTCCAGTGCAATTACCTCTCGTTGGGAACGCCCCTCTGGACAAGGCATAAGGGTGACGATAAACTAATCTACAGTCCTCCAAGCAGCATTGACGTGTGGCTCCCTATAAGGACCCCAGTGTTCGAAGGGTCACGTATCTTATAGGATTAGAGCATACATGTAAGGTTATATTTGGGAAAATATATAGCATATATTTGTATATAACCTGAGCGAGTTTCTCTCCATCAACCCCCAAAGCTACAAACCCCCCATGTCACCCCCGTAAAGCGGGCAGTTGTGACAATATTGACAACATAATTTTCTGTGTAGCATTAATTAAATGAATAAATTGAATGTATTCTCCAATTCCATGGAAGTCTCACCAACTTTGGTGACAATTTCCTGTTTATTATAGTTATCGAATTCTCCACATAGCCCTTAGCGGCTGTATTAGACATCCCATGCTATTTAATTCTCAGCAAATCAGCCACAGAATCTACAAGCAGAGTAGGTAGTTGATGATAGCCGAAAGCAATGACCGTTTTTTTTTTTATTGATACTTTATTGATAACTTGAAATGAACAAAGAATATGCAATATAAAATATATAAATAACAGTAACAGTTTTGAATCACCAAACTTACTGAACAATACTGACGATTTAGGAAATAATTAAAGGAGGGTTATTTTTCATGCTTCTGAATCGAATTTGAATGGATCAGATCATAAAATACAAAATTAGAAAAAATATTGTGTGAAACACGTTGGGAAACACTATTTTTCGTAACTCGCTTCCTTTTGCGGAACGAGCGTAGCGAGTTCCGCAGAAATCTGCTCGTTACGAAAAATAGTGCTTTTCCCAACTGGTTGCACAAATAACTATTTTCAATCGTGTTCATTAGAAATAGATAAATAACAAACAGCTGGTGATCGGCTGTTGCTGTTGCAATCCAAGGATACACAATACACACTCTATAAAGCTTAATTCTCACTTGCGCGAAATGCGCCCTTTTTTGACATTGCTTCGAAAATTTGACGTTTGATACATGCATAAAACGTCAACTTGTCGAAACAATGTCAAAAAAAGAGCGATTTTCGCGCAAAAAGAGCGAATTTTGCGCAAGTGAGAATGGGGCATAAGAAGTGCTTATCAGCCTCGTTTTTGGTAATCGCCGCCATATTGGTTTGATACCATTTCCGACGTCATAACTGAGTCGTCAGCTGTTTAAACAGCCTACGTCAAGGCAAGAAATGCAAATGACATTCTGTCTACGTCACAACTGGCATTTTGGCGTGGGGGGGATTTGTTACACACAGGCCTTATGAGAATAGACGATCCTGTAGTAGCAGTGAGTGTGTATCATCCTTGGATGGAATCAGCGTTATCTAAAATGGCCTCTTGACACGAATGACACGTGAGGTGAAATACATAATTCTTTTCTAAAAAGTTGGGCGCTTGGTCTTTGCTATGCCACGAGTTATGACATGGCTCTCGTAGACTCGTGCTGGGACGAATTTAATTTTTTCGGTTAATCAATACCAAAAATGCCCACAAAATGCTCACATCTTGCCAATGCTCCCATTTTTACCCCCTGATTCCTGATCTATAAAATGCTCTCACATTGGTAACACTGTTCAGACTAGAGACAATTGTCAACTAGTCAACTTGCAGGTTTGCCAACTTTTCAATAGAGTTCATTGAATAGAGCATTTCAACAAAATATATATATATATATATATATTCCGTGCTTTCGGTATTTTGATCTGAACTCTCCGAGCTAGAATTTACCGTTCGTTTATTTAAAAAGTGTACTCGGTGCAGGCTCATTCGCGTTCGCTCAATTAAAATTTCGGGAACTCGGATACAGCGTTTAACTGGTCACGTGATTACGGCTCCGCTCAGCATGCGCCCAGCACGCTCTGCTATTTGAGCAAAATACCGAATGCAAGGATAGTAAATTTTTTTTTTTTTTTAAGATAATTTCCCAAGTCAAAAATTTAAAGTCTGTTTTTTTTTTAAGATAATTCCCCAAGGCAAAAATTTAGTAACTATGTTGACAGCACAAGCCTTTTCTACATAAAAAAATTGAAAGCATTGACAATTTTACATTAACCCTTTTCACGTGGCTCCAGTTTAACTAACCGGGTTACAAAACGGTTAGAGAAATGACATACCGTTTTCTAACCCGGTTACAAAGTGACGTGAAGGATACCACCACTCGAATTTGAGCAGTATGTTGCGGTTTGTTAAACCGGAGCCACGTGAAAAGGGTTCTTGTATTGCCAACATAATGTCATTTTGACTTTTATCTTTAAAAAAAACAGCTGCCGGATTCTATTTTACGAGTCGAGTCGTAATTCGCATCGAATTTTCAGAATAGCGATTCTCTTTTACGATATTTCGATAAATATTACACGGTACGTCCGGAGCTGTCGTATTCGCAATATCGAGACAATCCGACTCGACTCGTAAAATAGAATCCGGGGGCAAATTTTAGTACTATCTGTGTTCGGTAGATTACTCAAAGAGCAGAGCGTGCTGAGAGGAGCCGTAATCACGTGACCAGCGAGCGATCAGGGGTGCGATTTTCGAAACCATTCGAGTACATTTCGTACACGAAATTTGACTGACAGCAATGTAAATTAAATGGGGAGCAGTCAAATTTCGTGTACGAAATGTACTCGAATGGTTTCGAAAATCGCACCCCTGAGCACTTAAACGCTGTATCAAAGTGCCCGAAATTTTAGTAAACGAACGAGAATGAGCCTGCACTGAGTACACTTTTTAACTTAACGAACGGTAATTTCAAGCTCGGAGAACTCAGATCAAAATACCGAACTCACGGTATGTTGGTAACACAAGCTTTTTCTACATATTTAATTACTGTAGGTATATTTTGTAGTTGCTCTAATGGTCGGTTTCTCAATAGCGAGTCACCTC